CTCAGAAAATGAAGCTCTTTCAGACGATACATTTTTCAAAAATTAAAGAACCCAATTCCATCTACTCCGGAATAAGTTGCTTGCATCGAAACCGGTGTAGATTCCCTTTAGGCATCTGATAACCATCGCCACCTGTTCCAAAGCAGTTAGCTTTCTTGAACGCACCATCGGTGAGAATGAGGGAGTGTTCCTCCTCACGGAGGCGAACAAACTCCTTCGAGATCTGACCAATAAAAAGCTCCCTCCAGTTTCTGAGGGTTACTGGGTAGTAGCAGCATAGAAAACAGACATCCAAGTCAAATTCCTGAAGTGTGTAAGAAATTTAACTACTATTTTGAATAGACAATTGAAACTAGCAACATCGTGGTGGCGCTAACATAACGTCATCTTAACACAAATGTCAAAATTGTTGTGAGCAAAACTTTGTTTGTTTAAAACCGATCAAAACATTGGTGCGCAAATAAACAAGGTGCGAAACATCTTTTCACAATTTTCCTAAGGATGCTAAATTTCCCGAACTACAGGAGATTTTCTTCTCACGTGGAGTCCAAGCGCTTGCAACGAAAAATTTATGTTCCGATCACTTCCCCCGGAGGCTTTTCGAATTCCTGAATGAACGGATAAGCAGTGTTCAAATCTTCCACAATTTTCTGAATTTAAATAAGGGCTAATTAGAGTTCACACCCTCACTAAATCATTTGAAGATACGCCGCCAGTGAACCCAAAAAAACGTCAGTTTTGCTCCTGACTACTATGCCCAGTTAAAATTGGAACGAAAAACGGTTGTAGATCTACAGGAAAATGAAAAAAAAGCTTAGTTCTTTATTCGAAAATAATATCCCACAAATGGTTTGAATGATACCCCGAACACGTCGTTAAGCTCTCTTTTATGGTTATTTTTATTAGGGTTGTCTTGTTTATTTTTAACTGATTTGACAGTTCATTTGGATACAAGGTCAATGAGATCAACCCAAATTTTAGTTGAGTTTACTCATTAATCGCAAAAAGTGATAACTCGAGTCGCAACCTCGGTCGCAACATTCCGTTTGGCGGCGCTAGAGTTTCTAACATATTTTAATTTTAATTCTTACACATAATTTTTCGAAAAATTTGTTTAGGCTTGGATGTCTGATCTCTGTGATAGCAGTGTTGGAAAATTAGCAAAAAAAGAAATCTCACCAAAGGAAAAGATCACGCTTGATTTTCGCAACTGCGGTAAAAAAAATTGAATATATTCGACGAAAATATGGAAGGCGAACTAGAACAGCTAGTTCAATTCATCAAGATGTGCAAAATTCAGCTCAAAAAGGCAACATAGCATAAACGGAACACTACAGGCACTACCATTAGCAACTACAAGAAACACGACCACAGAGGTGAGCTGGACTGAACCCGGTAGTAATCTACAATTCTTAGCATCTTACTGTTGCTGTGACACTCCCACCCTACCAAAATAAATTCATCGGGCATTCTGACGGATCTAGACAGACTTTTCCACTTTTGAAATTGTAATATATTTAGTCAATCCTGGTGGAGACTACACGCACGAAAGTGCCCAGGCCCATCGGGTTTCAAGGAATCGCTGCATTTCCGACTGCCACATACCAGAACCAAACTATCGATAACAACCTTAATCCTCACGATCATCCATGCGATCTCGTAGGCCCGATCGTATCCAGTCATGGATATTCCAGGTCGCGGAATACGGTGTACGTGTCACTTCTGTATCCCGAGTTATTTTCTCTATCGAGGTCCAGTGCAATCCAACAAACCGACTGCCGTGGTTTTCTCACCGATAAACCGACATGAATGATCATACAAATTACAAAGGAATTTCTGCTCAAAGCACAAAACTGACATCTACCGCCGTGATCGCGGAAAATGTTTATCCTAGCCAAGAACACGCGTACAAAATTTATGAGTTAGTTCGTGTCTAATCTATTTCGGACAAATTATTTTTATCTAGATAAAACATATCTACGGTTTTGACAGATGGAATCACTGCACATTTGAATCGGCCGTTATGGATTCTCGATCAAGAGTTAAGTTTAAGTTTCATGTCGGTTTGTCGGTGGTTTTCTCTCCTTGCAAGAGAAAAACAACAACTTTACAAGCTACAAGCTTTCAACTCGTCCGATAACGTCGGTGAATAACATCTCTTGAATTTTATCGTCAACCTGTGCTAATAGTATAACATTATAAAATGATCAAAACATTTTTTTTTAAATCTATCGAAATTACCTTCTTCTCCATAGCTACAGGTACTCTGAGGTATGCAACTTTTTTGGGAGGTACAGTTTGGTCAATGGACAGTTTCACTAATACTCCTGGAAACTTTGGGAAGGGTTTGGCATCCATATCGACATGAAGAACATCAAACCCAACTTTGAGAACTCGTAGCTCTTCAGAGGTCCTTTTAATCAAGAGGCATTTACACGCTTCCTTGACAACGAAAAATTCCGCATCGGTGGTCTTGGGTTTTGATTGATTTACGGATATCCATACTTCAAACATAGCTGACACATCGAGTGGTTCACTACTAACATAAGCATGAAATTTCCGATCACATTTGTATTTCTTTTTGAATATGCTCGCATTTTTAGCATTGAGCTCATTTCAAACGTTCTCCGTAATTGTGTTTATTAAGGCTCCAGAGTCAATTAGAAAATCTACCGGTACGTTATCAATTTGGCAAAATATGGATCCATTATTATGGGCTTGCGTATCCACCTAGTGAAAAATAAGTTTATGATTCAATCTTTTATTTTAATTCCAATCGAATATAAATTCAAATACAGAGATCCTGATATTCCTTTGAATAAACATAACAATTTTCAGGTTGTAGAGACAAAAAAAATAACATGTTACTATACCTGGGCCTCATTATCAGAAGTTGGGCGATGAGGTACTTCTTCCTTCCAGGTTCCTTCCGAGCTTGTCAACGAGTTTGCTTCACCTGTATAACGGCCAACTGCTCGTCTGGGAAAGCTTGATCCTCGCTGCCCTGCATTATTGGCAGCACATTTCCTTGCATAATGTCCCCTTTGTCCACAGTGGTTACATGTATTCCTCGAGCATAACACTCACGAGACTCCTTGGTTTGTCTGAACGATCCACATCTGTCGCATTGAATTCTGGAACGACTGCCTCCTGATTCAACACGTCTGATGTCAGGCTGTCTTCCAAATCAAGGATACGGTTTGGAGTTTCGTTTTGGACTCGCATTCCTGCTTCGGATTGAATCTGTGCAACGACGTTTTCTTCGCTTCGCACTCCGTAAGCTGCCTTGGAGATACCCACTTCGTCTTCCAAGCTACGAGAATCGCTGTCAATTGATCAATGTCGAGCCCTTACGTATCAGAAGTGATGTTTTCAGAGCCTTAACCGTCGCCGATACTCTGCCTGGAAGAATCGATTGCGAAGCAATTCTGCAACAATTGAACATGAATGTTCAACATAGATCACTACCCAACAGTCTTATGCTAAGACTTCCACTTCTTCGAACTAATTAAAGCTTAAGGAGCGCTATTTGCGGCTTGCAGCGAGTGTTCAAGCGAGTAGCGTTGATATTCGATTTCCACTTGACACGGAATATGCTTCGCCGAAGATTCTCTGCCTTATTTGCTGACCGAAGGCGCTTGACGCCCAACAGCTAAGTGTCAAATTTTAGACTTATACATTTTTAGTAACTTGACAATGCTTTCCTTGTTATTTTCGTATATGTAGTCTGTTTAATCTGTACTTTTTTTACAACACATCATTGGGACTATTTCTAGTCTGTTGATGCAAACATAACAAATAAACAAATTCGTGCAATTTTCAATAGTGACCTGTTGAAAATTGGTAAAGTGTTTATTTTAGCAGATTCGTGGATGACATTCCAATCGAGTGGCTTGTTTAAAATTAATATGCATCCGCTATTGACAGAGTTATAAGTGGTCAAAAACTGACCACTTTTCGTAACGCGGTCGATTTTGGTTTTTTGAAATTGCTCCCCTAATATGTTACCGAAAGACGTAATCCTACGTCAAAAAATTATTCTCAATTTTGAAAATCACTGCATAATCATTATCAGCGACATCACAAAATCAAATTTAGTTTTCAATTTGATCTCAGACTTTGCTCGGGATACAATACTTTTAGTATGGAGCATGTCGTATGAAAATAACATTAAAATTACAATAAAATACAATACATTCTATTGTTTGTTATTAACCCTCTTGTCATTGCATTGTGTTGGTCAAATGATTATATTAATATCACAATAAGTTTATAATACATTCTTTGTTTTCGAAATTCTTAACAATTGGAAAACAATATAATGTAACGAAATTTAAAATGTTCGAGAAAAAAAAATTCTATGGTTAAGTAAGACTACAATAGATCGAAGTACTTGTCGCAGTAGTTGTATGTCCCGAACAGAGGAAATAAAATGGTTAAGATACTTAACAATCCCCCTCGTCTATTGTAAAAGTCCCATTTACGACAGATTCTATTGTGTAAAATATTATGTTCTAATGTATTGTTATTATTCTTGGTATTAACATCTTAATATGTGTAACGGGCTATTATAATTTGTTGAATAGGCATAGGGAAAACGCTCGTATAGCTACGGTACGTTAGAAGCATTAGGTTCCTAAGATTCTATAACATTCCCCAGAAAACCATTCTCCAGAATGCACCATTCCCCAGAATGTACCATTCTAATCTAACTAAGTAATCAACCTGATATACCGCCTGGAACGTTCTTCTGAATTTATTGACGTTCGTTTACGTTCCATAACACCTTCTAGCGCAATGTTAAACAGGAGGCAGGAAAGACCATCGCCGCGTCGAAGTCCGTTGCGTGTTTCAAACGAGTCCGATAACGCTCCCGATTTCTTCACAAAGCATTGGTACAACATCCATCTTAGCCTTGATCAGTCTAGTCAGTTTCCCGGGAAAACCGGAACCGGGAATTCATTGATATTTTCTTTCATTTACTAAAGAAATATGTGCGATTTGAACTAGGGTATTTAAAGTGTATTTCTTATCAACTAAATTTTAGAAATTTTGGCAATTGTATTGATGATTGCTAGCAAAAAAGAGATTGTTGGTTTATTCAATTTGGTCATAAAAACCGTGTTTATTCCACCCGGTTAGGAACTCTCTGCCTCCTAAAGTTACGCAGTCGATCGAAAAATCTGGCATTCGATGCAGGAGATTCGAACACGTCATCTTCGCCGCTAGTCCAGCGGGTTATTGTCGGATGATCATACGCGAAAGCATCATCTGCTAGCATAGCAAGACTTGTTCTTGATCCACGATTTCCACACGGAACCCAGAATCCACTCGGTAAGGCTTGCTGTTCTCGGAGCCGGCAACGAACCCTCAAATAGATACAAATCGACAGAATAATAATAAAGCTTGTGCATGCCATTATTTCGTTCATGTCAAGTGTTGAATCGGACAGAACTGTTTGGTAATTATCATCGTAGACTCCATGATACAAATTACGCAGTGAGTAATGCAAGCGAGCGCTGAACACAACATTGACACCATAGAAAAGTGCGGCAGCCCCGAAGAGAAATCCATTTGCCAAGAGGAATGCCGGTATAGAACTCAACAACAATCCCACTCCGATGCCACACAGTAGCAGGATAAGCATCACGTATAGATGAATGAAAAGATTTCCATCTGAAAATGTAGGATTAATTTAACAACTGAAACGGTCTAACGACTTATCCTGATTATTCTCTACTTACAGAAGCCATAATAGATAACGCTGCACATCATGTATCCTACTAGCAAGTTGCATATAAGAATGGATGCTATCGGACAATAAATCGACAGTACTAAAAACAGCACAGCACAAACGATCGCTCCTACGACTAACATCGCGGTCAGCTCAGTATCTGTCACGAACAGGTTGCAACTCTTCGCCAACTTCATTGTTCCTATCAAACCTACTATTCCGCCACATATGAATGCTTTCACAAGCAACGGGCAGAATCCGACCACGATTTCAGCAGCCATTATAATCGTTACAATCAATCCAACAATTCGAATCGGAACATTAAACTCGTAACATCCACCGACGTTTAAAAAAGGATGACAAGCGTACGAGTGAACCGGAACATACGCCGCAAATCCATGATGAACCGGATCAACAACCACGGTAACAAATACCATTCCCCGGCCAATCTGCCGATCGTAGATACGCTTGATGCCCGGCATGGACATCGTTAGATTATTCAACCGTCCGGAAGCCTTTGCATTGGCGTAGCTTATTAAATTACGTATGTACGTAAAATAAGTCTTCTGGGAAAAATCATACGACGGCATCGATAGATAGTAAGATTCATACTTTAGCCGTGTCTTTCCACAATCGTTCTCAGAGCTATTGAACTGTCTAGATAGTGAAGCAGGTGGCGTATCAACCTCGATTGTAGATTCTCTTAAGGTCAAATTCATCACCGGCGATACATCCACCGGGAATTCCATATTACAGCCTCCCGGCAAGGGAGCCGTCTTGTTGTACAACATCAGTACCAACGAGATCCAAATATCCTCATGAGAATTCGTATTAATTGCATACAGATTCCCATCTTCATATAGAACCAATCCGAGATTCAACCCAGTCAAATGATTTCCCTCGATGATCGTTTTCGTGTAGCTTAGCGTAACGTTGAACTCGTACGCATTAACCTGAACCAAGGCAAATCCTACGTTCCTGCCGTACCGGGTCATGTTCGTCAGCTGGATTTTAGTGTTGGAATAGGCTGGTAGCACTATTTCATGGTACTCATTTATGTCATTCATCTTGATGTGCTTCGGTACGCTAAGTTGAATGACATTGTAAGCTGTTCAGAACCGGTTGGAAAAGATTAGCTCACTTTACAGCACAACAAATACCAAAGTGAAAAACTTACTGAATTGCATCAAATTTTCGGCTGATTCTTCTGCGTCCAAAAACTGAGATACATTTTGAAAGGAGCCTTTCTGTCCACCATTAATGACATTTGATACGTTTTCTGTTCGAAATTGATGGCACTGAGTACAGCACAGCAGCAAGTTTAAAATCACTATAAATTCGTAAAAGGTTTTTGATCCCATTTGACTGTAAATCACTTTTCCTAAACCGAATTTTGCCAAACTAAATCAATTGACACTAAATAAACGATTCTTTATCAACCAAAGAAACTACTATAAACAAAATGTATCGGACACAAATTCCACGAACAACACCTACTATCTACAAAGGCAGGGTGGCCAGACCTACTGATTTATCGAAAGTCCTATATCTAATTTGTAATTTGTAATTTATTGATAGCATAACGAAAACCTGTCAGTTACAGAACCATTGATCTAGCAAAATTTCGACCCGGCTATCCGATTCACAGACAAATCAATCAAATCTATTGATTTATGTACTTTTCCCTCGACTTTTCCTATACCGGAACAGCCGAGAACTACCATTTTCAATAATAGATTAACAGCATGGTTGATTACCTAGTAAAACCATAGAGGTAAAACAATACCATATCCGAACGATAACCCAAATGATAGATCTATTCCACAAATGGTTTGGATGATACCCTGAACACGTCGTTTAAGCAAAATAACCATTCACTAATAAAATTCGACACATTTTATTGACGAATTTCCATGTGAAATTCCACATGATTTTCATGTGGCCACACATAAACAAAATCCACCCAGAAGCACACATGAAATTTATGAGTCAAATGAATAGTATGTGTGGTTACACATGGCTTTTATATGTACACAGCAAAAAAAATGTAATATCGATCAACGTAATTCAAGCTGATATATGAAATAATGATGTAGTAGCAAAAAGCAGATACAATATTAAATCAATATATGTAATTTTGTTCGCAAAATCGATGTACATCGTACAACGATATATTACACAACCGGCGGAATAACCTCTGTGCAGCTGTTTGGATGTAATATTCAACAACTTTTTTTTTTTCTGTGTACACAGCAAAAAATGTTGTTGAATATTACATTGAAACTGCTGCAACCAGGTCAATCCATCGGTTGTGTAATATCACATTGTACGATGCTCGGTACCATGTACATCGATTTTGCGAACAAAATTACATCCATTGATGTAATATTGTATCTGCTTTTTGCTATTACATCATTATTTCATACATCAGCTTGAATTACGTTGATCGATATTACATTTTTTTTTGCTGTGTACACAAATTAAGTACACAGAAAAAAAAGTTGTTGAATATTACATCCAAACAGCTGCACAGAGGTCATTCCGCTGGTGGTGTAAAATTACGTTGTACGAAGTATACCGATTATGCGAACAAAATTACATCCATTGATGTAATATTGTAGCTGATTTTTGCTACTACACGCAGAAAAAACTAACGTCGTAACAAAAATATTTGAGGTAAATTTAAACGTAAACTCAGCTTGGCCAGAACCACAAACATAAATTAGGTTGATTTCAAACGTATTTCATGTTTGAAGTCATGTGAAATCAATGTTTAAAATAAAAATAATGTTACGTTAATTTCAAAAATATTCGTGTTGAAAATAAACGTATTTATTTTTGTTTGGTTTGACAGCTATGCGAACAAAAATAAATATGTTTATTTTAAACATGCTTCTCATGTTCAGGGTTATTTCCACTCACTTGCTATAAAAAAATGTTTTTCAGAATTATGAAACCATGAGATGGTATAGTGATGATTAGAACTTGTAAGCTACAAGAAGAAGTCGTGAAGTATGTGTTTGACACACAAAATCTGTCAATATTGCTTTCAGTGCGCCACAACCAACAATTTTACGATTCGTGAGCGCTCACTCTGAGTGAACGCTCACGAATCACAAGATCGCTTATTGTGACGCTCTGAAAGCGAAATTGACAGGTTTTATGAGTCAAACACATACTTTACACCCTCTTCTCGATACTTACAAGTACAACATATCATTATATCACAGATAAACAGACATATAACTCGCAAGTTGTTCATCGAACAAGCATTTAACGGTCAATTTAAAAGTATAGTAGTTGGTAGTACCGCCACCTGTGGCGCGCATAGTCAATTCCCTTGCGTTTGACGTTTACACACTACCGCCACCTGTTCAGCGTACTACCCACCACAGTGTACTCAACAGATGGCGATAATGTTTTAGCGACGATGTTTTACATTGAGAAATATTTAATGTGTTCTGTCTGTCGCATAATTCCGAAAAAATGTTTTTATAGCAAGTGAGTGGAAGCAACCCTGCTCATGTTTACAATAAACATACATATTTTGGAATTATTTTAGTAGTTGAGTGCAGGGTAAAGCAAAATAAAACGGTTTGCAAAGAAATGAAAAAAAGATCTTCGTTCAGGGCATCTTAATTCCTGCTCTTTTTCGGGTGCGATTAAGGGTGACCTGTGGGTATTGGGGTCCTGGTCCGGGATGCGAGGACCCGTTGGGGTGGGTGTGCGGGGGTTCCAGTTCAGTGGAACCGGTGCAAATTTGTGTTACTAGCGTCGTTTTGCCGTTTCTGCCACTGGTCCCCATATCGGTTTCTTTCCATGTTCGGTATAGGCCTTTTTAATAGAAACTAAACGATCGATTCAACCTCTGGTGGTGAATAGAAAAACGTCAAAAAGAGTGTTATGAGCATAAATTTTTGCCTTGAGACATAGGAAGCGGAACACTTTTTTACTTTTCCTGATAAATTGATTCATCTGAGATGCTGCAAAACTTAATCTACAGTTGAAAAATTTAACTCTGTAACGTTTTTGAAAAGATCCTGCTAGTGTTCAGGAATATTTTTGTTGTGAAAAATGGAAAATTAGAAAAGTGCCTTAGTGGTTATGATCTTCCGGATTTCTTGTGTGTGAATAGTTAAGGTGCAAATCAGTTGAGATTTGTGGAAAATCGTACAATAAGACAATTACCGCTGGAAATTGGCAAGATTTTAAATGAAAAATGCTGTTATTTGCGTTGGGGAAAATACTTATTCTGATGTAAACAAACGGTTTGGTTGATGTTTCTTCTCGAACTCGCGTAGCGTACTCTACGTTGGTGGTGCATTAAAAAGGCGTATCGGAGGAGGATCCGGAATGGATTCGGAATGGATGGCCGTTTTCTGTTGAGTTTGAGCAAAGCTGGGGCAACCTTTTCCGAATGTAACAAGGAGGAAATAGGCCTTTTTAATAGAAACTAAACGATCGATTCAACCTCTGGTGGTGAATAGGAGAACGTCAAAAAGAGTGTTATGAGCATAAATTTTGTCTTGAGACATAGGAAGCGCAACACTTTTTCACTTTTTCTGAAAAATTGATTCATCTGAGATGCTGCAAAACTTAATCTACAGTTGAAAAATTTAATTCTGTAACGTTTTTCAAAAGATCCTGCTGGTGTTCAGGAATATTTTTGTTGAGAAAAATGGAAAATTAGAAAAGTGCCTTTGTGGTTATGATCTTCCGGATTTCTTGTGTGTGAATAGTGAGGGTGCAAATCAGTTCAGATCTGTGGAAAATCGTACAATAAGACAATTACCGATGGAAATTGGCAAGATTTTGAATGAAAAATGCTGTTATTTGCGTTGTGGAAAATACGAAACACCGTGTGTGTTTAAGAAGCAAGAGAGATGGTAAAGTTGTGTATGACTTATCCAGCATTTTACGAGCGCTTATAGACCTTTTTGACATTTAATCATCTTTCTCTATCTAGCACACATGGATGAATGGACGGTTTGTTTTCCCACTAATCTGTTTCCCTCTTGCTCGCACTCGTTCGCTTTAAATGGTACAGTAGTGTGTGCCGATTAAACGTCAAAAAGCTCTATGGGCGCCACAATCTGGCTGAGTTTTTGGTAGGGAACATATGATTTGACGTTTGGGTTGTGTCGTTTGACGTGTAAACGTTCAAATTTGGTCGTTTACACGTCAAACGACACAATCCAAACTTCAAATCTTATGTTCCCTGCCAGAAACTTAGCCAGATTGTCCAAGCGACAGATACAATTGCGCTGCGCTTGAGCGAAGGTGGAAGCAACGCATAGAAAAATGAACAAATACACAAACCTTTCTTCTGAGGATGTAATCTTTGCTATCAAATTCGTTCGAAGCATTTACCTTTGAGCGGCAGATGACGCGATTGTACCCACAAACGAAGTGACAGACGGAGCGGCTCGAAAACTTTGGTGACTAACCTGCTATTGCAATTTTTCAGTGTACCACATGGCAACACCACTACTACTGGATTGTACCACATGACAACACTACTATACGAAACGAAAATCAATTATTGTATCCATGTGTTTCACTTATACATTTTTGCCAAAACATCAGCCTTATACATTCCATAAGACAATAATATAAGACTTATACATTTCATTTGACACATGATCTTCATTAACTTTTTGCAAGGCGGCTGCTTATTAGTAGACTTATACATTTTATGAATAATGAGCAATAGAAATTTGCCAAAAGGTATAAGGAGATTTCTATTCGTGTACCATAGAGGTAACTCTAAGACCACTGGGTCCCGTAGAAAATCATTATTATTTTTGGCTCACTCAGTACCAGAACAACGGTCCCAAGCAGTCCCAAGCTATTTCACTCACCCCTGCATGTTCTGCATGAATCCACACACCCCTGATGTTATCTGTCAAACTTTCATAGCGAATCAAAACAAACATAGTGTAGTAATAGAATTTCAACTAGAATAGGGTACACACTAAGATTTTTTTACAGTATACTGTAATTTTTTACCGAATATGGAACAGCTGAACATTCGGTAATCGATTCGGTATTTTTTTTATTTACAATTCGTTCGGTTAATTTCTCTTCACTCTTGAGCTGTCAAAAATTACTGACCTGGACTGTAAATAATACTGAATGATTGGTAAAGCTTACAATAACGTTCAGTAATGTTTTTACCGAAATATCTGCAAATTATTTTCCTTTGTGGTTATATAAGTTACAATTTAACCAGCAATAATTACCGAACGTTTTGTTCCATCGATATGTCTTATTGTGTTTTCATCAAATTAAATGATTACAACACAGCAAACGTTTTATTTAACACCAAAAAATCAATTAATTTAAATATTTGCGGCGCCTAGAAAAGGGTTCTCCAGGTCCAGGTCCAGCAAGGGCAATGTGCGCACACATGACATTGGCTTTTTGCAGCTGAGGGTAACATTAGGTCGCCTTAAGTCCAAGATGACTGGCAGCGATGGCCTAGAATTGAATTGAAAGTAAAATAATTATCCACTCCGTCGATTCAGCGGACTAAAGAAAAATATTAAAGTACTTACTTTTCACACAGGAGAACCAAAGAACACTCAACCTGGAAATAGCGGCAAAGGATGTTTTTGACAGTTTGAAATTTACAAATCTGTTCCGTAATTTTTTACAAGAATCTGGTACTTTACTACCATTTGTTTTTGTAAAAGACTATTTTTACAGTACGTTCGCCACAGTATTGTAGAATTGCAGTAATTTACAGTTTAGATCAGTAATTTTTATTTACAGTTTTCGGTAATTTTCGGAAAGTACGGAAATTCAGTATTATTTATTGCTGAAAGTTGGTATAGCAATATATTTTACAAAGCTTTCGGTAAAAATTATATTTTACAGAACGAATTCAGCAAAAAAAAGTACCGAATGGAATTTAAGAAATTTGGTGTGTACGTTAATCGTTTGCTTGGGACCAATAGGCTACTAAAGTGGTGAGCCAATTTAAAATCGTTAGTTTCGTATTGATTGTTGCTACTACTAGATTGAACTAGCATTTTAACCGAATGTACTAGAATGTTTTGGTTCTATCTCTTTCACTCTACACAAAACTGAAATGCATAAAAAAATGACAAAATGATACGCACTCTTTGCACACTGTCAAAGAATCATTGTACACTAAATCAACTTTGTTCAAATCAAAACAAAAAAACTAACCCATCTGGTGGATGATGGCACAAGCTTCCAAGAAAATTCTATTACAGTGAACCACATTATCACAAACGAAGTGACAGACGGCAACACTACTACCACAAACGAAGTGACAGACGACTAACTTGCGAAGAAATCCATTAAAATATATGACATATGACAGTGATTTCCAGTGATTTAAATTTGGTGTGTAGCGTTCGTATGATAAAATGGAAGAGTTGCCAGTCTTCTTGATTTGTTGTTTTCGATATAAAGCAATGAATTTTTGAACCTGAAAACTCATCGGTGATTTTTGCGACGTTGAATTCTGCAAGGCAAAACTCATAGGCGCATAAACTCATGCATGAGATTTGAGTTTTTGATTTTTTACGAACACTGATAGAGGTTGAGTAAGGTAAATTTATTTTTAATTGATTACTACTTTATCGCATATACTACAGAAGATATATTACCGGAGCAGTGGATAGAAGGTGTCGTATGCCCAATATACAAAGAGGGTGACAAGTTGAATTACTGAACTCTCAAGTCCCTTTGAAGGTGATGGACTTTCGTGTCTGCTATTTAACATCGCGTTAGAAGGTGTGATAAGAAGAGCTGGTATAGGCACGAGTGGCGCGATCTTCAGGAAATCCATCCAGCTTCATGGCTTCGCCGATGACATCGACATCATGGTACGGAACTTTGAGACGGTTGTGGAAAGGAAACGTACATCAGACTGAACGCTGAAGCTAGGTGGATTGGACATCAACGCATCGAAGACGAAATAAATGATAGAAAGTGGTTCTAGGGAAGACAATGTTAGTCTCCCACCCCGAGTTCAAATTGACGGTGACGAAATCGAGGTGGTTGACGAGTTCGTGTATTTGGGCTCACTGGTGACCGCCGAAAATGACACCAGCAGAGAAATTCAAAGATGCATTATGGCAGGGAATCGCTAGGGGCACGCAATAACCTTTAACTCCAACGCCAACGACTATAATTAAATTAATTCCATTAATTACTGCTTTAATTACATTAATTACACAATGTAGAACATTAACTACTTTTTAACTCCATTAATTACAGTTGAACTTTCGTAATTAAAGTACATTAATTACATTTTCAATACTTTTAATTACATTAATTACGGATAGATAATTTTAATTACCGTCAGTACTATAGTACTATATACTTCAAAACGCATTAATTACTTTAAGTACTTTTGATTGCACTTCAACGCACCGGTTCTTTGTATTGCGTGCCCCTCGGGGAATCGTGCCTACGGAGGACGCTCCAGTCGAATAAAATTCGCCGCCGCACAAAGTTGACTATCTATAAGACGCTGATTAGACCGGTGGTCTTCTACGGCCGTAAATGCGAATCATTACTTGACCTTACCGAAAATGGTCAAAAATTGTTTATAATCCCTGCAAACTTTAACTGAAATGGTTATGGAACTTTACATGAACGTTTGTGTGATAAAGTTTTGACCTTATGTTTTATGGTTTTTCCTTCCATTTGGTGACAATTGTCACTTCACCATTACCTCACTGTCACCTCACCTCACGCGCCGCGCAGAATAGGCCTATGAGAAACATTTATTGATTTATTTAGATGTTCGATATAATTTTAAATATATTTAGGGAAGATGCATAAATGACGTAACATGTTAGTGTGACCAGCCATGTATGAATCCTGATGAATGTGGGCGTCTTAGTGGAGCCATGTAGAAAAATACGCTACAAGCGGGAGGTGGCCAAAGTTGATGCTACATGAAACCACAAACGAAGTGACAGACGGAGCGGCTCGAAAACTTTGGTGACTAACCTGCTATTGCAATTTTTCAGTGTACCACATGGCAACACCACTACTACTGGATTGTACCACATGGCAACACTACTACTAGATTGAACTAGCATTTTAACCGAATGTATTAGAATGTTTAGGTTCTATCTCTTTCACTCTACTCAAAACTGAAATGCATAAAAAAATGACAAAATGATACGCACTCTTTGCACACTGTCAAAGAATCATTGTACACAAAATCAACTTTGTTCAAATCAAAACAAAAAACTAACCCATCTGGTGGATGATGGCACAAGCGAGGGCACAAGCTTCCAAGAAAATTCTATTGGCAAATCAAAGTTGGCACTCGTGGAGAATAGAAGAACTATGAAAGTGATGATGGTTTCAAAATTTTGCACGGGGAAGTATACGAGTGCAATCTTAAAATGCTTTTATTTTGAAAATGGAGCATTTTATTTAAATCTGGTTACTGCTACAGTGGTAGAAAAGCGGAAGTCCATCACTCAAAGATAAATTAAATCAAAAAAGTTTAAAAAGTATGCAGTTTCCCGCTTCACCTTATTGAGTCCGAGCCATGATTACTTCGGCAGTAGTCATGCATGATTAAAATCGAAATAATTTTTCCAGCATTAAATTTTATTCTTTTTCAATACTGATATATAATCAAAAAAGATTAAAATTCAATCAAAAATTATTAAAATATAATCAAAAATGATTAAAATTTATTCAAAAAAAGATAATCTACAATCTAATCAACCATGACTAAACTGGGATTAACATCAGATGCTTATTTTTTAGAAAGAGAGGGTTAATTTTTAATTTGTCGATATGATTAAACTGAGTTTAATGTCAAATTGATTAAATTTCAAGCAAAATGGGAATAGTTCAATTTATCAGTGATGTTTACACCTAAAAATCTGAAAAGAAATTAAGTTTTCTGTATTATATGTCTATTGAGTAGTCCTGAAGTTTTCTACTAACGTAGCACTTACCAGATTTAAATAAAATGCTCCATTCACAAAATAAAAGCATTTTAAGATTGCACTCGTATACTTCCCCGTGGAAAATTTTGAAACCATCATCACTTTCATAGTTCTTCTATTCTCCACGCGTGCCAACTTTGATTTGTCAATTACAGTGAACCACACTATTTTAATGGATTTCTTCGCCAGTAAGTCGTCTGTCACTTCGTTTGTGATGAAACGTTAAACGTTTGATGAAACACCAACTTTGAACCCCCTCTCCCTGGTAGCGTATTTTTCTACATGGCTGGTCACCCTAAAATGCTACGTCATTTATGCATCTTTCCGTAGGAAAAATACAGATCGTTCATGTTACCTATGAAAACTGTCCTGCAAACAAAAAAATGGAATGGAACTTACCTTATCAACTGCGTACTGTTGTGAGTCTTCTTTTTCAAAGCCATATCCTTCCGAAAGACGTATCCGACAGTAAAGGAGATGCCCTGTCAAATCTTCACCCTTTGAAAAAGCATGTGGTTGCATCAAATAATATATTTTGTTTGTAGGTACATCACTAAACAATCGTAGTGATAGGCAAAGCAGAAGGTAGGCAGATGTTCTACAATTGATTGCTTACAATGGTATGATTTATGGTAGACTATGCGTTATCTAACAATAGGATTTGTTTTAACAGAAGTTGGAACACTACATAGTATGCACTGCATTATTCCTTGTGTAGATACAATTTGCAAGGTTTCAAAATTGTATAAGTGATTGTAAAAATTGAGAAGAACTTGCTGGATTTTTGTACATTTACATAGATCTTTGGTATCGTCTTATGAACAATTCTTGCAACAGTTCAAAGCCCATTGTAGAACATATAAATAGTTTTACCATTTCTGTTACAATTGCTTACAGTTAGAAGGATTTGTATGGCTTCCTAATCCGAAGTTGACAAATCTATGCTTCATAGGAAAAGTTAAGCGAAGACATTTTGAGATAGCTCTGGAACAGCCCTTTTGGAGCTAATCCCTTACATATAGGAATCCGCGGTAAGTTTGTTAAACTTAATCAGTAACGCTCTAGTAAGTAATACAGTGTGAGTCATAGGTTTTTTTTTCTCGGGTACACATTTTCGGAAGCATTGTTGCGCTCTTATCCTACATACTACAATATCACAGAGTTATAGAACTTCAGAATTTCGGTAATCATGCTACAAACAGTACCCACACCAATGTCACGCGTAGATTTTGTAGTATAAAATAATTCGAACTACCTATCAGTCACAAAAACAAATACATCAGTCTTTTCGTTACTATTTACAATAAGTGATATCTTTGGCATACTAGATGCGTTAGGTTGATATAAAAGAAAATAAAAACAAAACAGAAAACCACTCCCAAAAATCGAATGTCTTACAGAGTACGGAAATGGTTCGGAAACGGAAGTTTGATAACGAAATAAAAAGCAAGATAAATAATACTACTATGAAAACAGCGAACTAAACACAACTTATAGATACTAATCTTAAATGCACATTCTGACTCTTAATTAGCTATAGAAAAATACACGGTACAGGTTTTGTTCTCTTCTTTTTTTTTTGGTTATCATTGTAATTAGTTTAATCAATAAATTGAATACAATCTTCTTTTTTTTGCATTTTGCTGCTACACTCAACACTGCTACGCCACTGGATCCGATGCTCGAACGATGTCGATGGTGATTGTTCATGTTCGACGTGCGTTTGTCCGTTGATCCGTCACGAAAAGCGTTGGAACGAGCGCAGAAGTCCGCCCCTATGTTCATCGCGTAGCAGACGACGTGAGACGGATGGAAGAATTGATGAATTCTATTTTCATTTCTAGATTGTTTCGGGGTGAACTGTTGTTCCTTAATGGTGTATTGTTGTTATATGGGAATCGGTCATTACATCTACTATTAGAGTGTGATAAGTTTAACTTTACTAGTCAGCAGCACATAAAGCACCGCCCTTTTAGTATTCTTGGTTTCTCGATCCTTCGTCTGGGATCGCAACACAGAAAATTTAATTACAATCAACTGTCCCGCTGTAAAGGATGACGTGCTTTTGCGGAACAGGTACCCTAGCTCTTAGGGTACGATATCCTTCACTTTCAAGTATTAAAATTCAGATTACCGCCCATTTTCGAGCGAGAGTTAATAATCTAAACATTTTCCCTAGAAACTATTGATGGGAGTGCTTGCTTTTTGCGGCGACACACAAAAAGAAGTCAATATTAAGTTGTGTGTGGATGTGTGTGTGTGTGTGTCTGAAGAAAGTTGAAACACTTTTCCAAAAAGTGATGCCGCAGTAGAAATTCTACAACTTGGCAATGTGTAAAAACAACAGAAAAAATAAATTTCGAAAGCGTTCCTATCATTTTTGAACGCTTGCATATGATTCTTTTGAAAGCGAGCTATTGGTTGAGTCTCACTCAATGTGCAAGCTTAATGCCGCGAACGATGTTCCTCACGGCGTTCACGATCGCGGTCTCGTTCGCGATCACGATCCGATGATCTGTAACGGTCATCGTTATAGTAGCGTTTTGAGTTTTCCGTCGAGGTTTCCGTTGTTGTCTCCGGAGTTTTGTTGCGTGGCCGAGAACGTCTCGAGCTGCAATGGTAGAATTTCCGAATTGAAAATCGAATGTAAACTGTGAATCAGGTACCATCTTACCCATCTCTCTCACGGTCCCGATCACGATCACGGTCGCTACGTTCTCTCTCGCGGGAACGTTCACGATAGCCACGTGAAGTGGATCGCTCCCGACGTGATCTCGAACGAGGATGCGACGAACGATCACGGGATCTGGACCGTTCCCGTCGGCTGTAGCTCTTCGTTTCAATACCATGCAGAGTGTCCTGAAGCGAGCTGATCAGGATCTTGCAACGCTCGTCGTGAGCCACCTTTGACTGTTTGATCAACGATATCGCCGTAGCCAGCGTTTCAATTGCACTCGAATATTCTCCGGCTGCGGCATCCGAAACGGCTCTGCGGAACGATTTTGATCGATTAAATTTTATGCCACTGAAAGCGCAACCAATAACAAAAAATTACCTGGCGATAGCTGAACTGCTCACTGTGCGGTTTCGGGTCATAATCTCTTCAAATTCTGCTTCGCTCAACTGTGGCGCAATGCCATGCTCTGGGAATGGACCTCCCGGAGGCTTCCCACCGGGACCTGGCCACGGACCACGAGGTGCTGCTCCTCCCTGTGGATTGAAGTGGGGTGGAGGGCCTTGCCCGGATGGTGGACCGTGCGGTGCAGGTCCTCCATTAGGATGGTTGGGCGGACCGCCTCCCTGGTTGAAGAATGCCGGATTCACGTGGGGCGCAGGACCTTGTGGTCCAGGACCACCCATCGGAGGCCCGCGAGATGGGCCTTGCATATGGGGAGGCCCTTGTCGTGGTCCAGGCGGTCCAGGTGGAAAACCACCAGGTCCACCATGCATAGGAGGTCCATTCCAATCCGGACGAGGACCACGCGACGGAGGTCCCTGGTACTGAAAGCAATTCACCAAAGCAGATTGATTAGCAAAAACTTTTCCCGATGTTCACATCGTTAAGTGATGTGGTTAACAATTAACGATTAGAAAGAATGTGCAAGACATATTTACATCCATGAATCTCTGTGATCTCTGTGATGGGTAAGGCGGTTTATTTACCATTTGCGGTCTATGTGGCATCGGACCTGGCCCACCCGGTCCACCAGGTCTTGGACCATTCATCCTTGGTGGCCCATTCCATTGACCTTGGTTTTGGAATCGCGGTGGACCTTGCTGTGGAGGTCCGTTTCCTTGATGCATTGGCGGACCCTACAAGAATTACCATGACAGTTAACATTTTCCAAATGAAGCTGATGAATGAAACGACGGCACAAAGTTCCAAACAAACACGGAATACAATCGACAATTTACAGTTTAATGGTTGCACAGTCTCTTGTTGTTTCTTAACTATAAGACTCTGCAACCGTTATTAAACACATACACAAACATGTAGAAGCAAAAAATTCTGCATAAAAACTTCAACAAACCTGCGGCCGTTGCGGTCCTCCTGGTCCCGGTGGGCCTCCCATATGCATCGGACCTGGCATGGGGTGATTATGGGGGGGTCTCATTCCAGGTGGCATATTGGGACCCATTCCCATACGTGGTGGACCACCTGGTCCGTTGGGCCCTCCTGGACCTCCAGGTCCACCCATGGGACCTCCCGGTGGACATCCCATACCCATGCCCATGTTCGGTCCCCCCGGTGGCCTCGGTGGCCCGTTAACTTGTCCTTGGGCCGGTGGAGTTGGTCTCGTTTTTTGCTGGCTTTCAAACTGATTTAACGCTTGTTTTGTCGGCAAAGTCACAACAGGATTCTGGCCGTGCAATTCCTTTTTTGGGAGACGATCCATCACATACCGCATACTATTCTCCGATCCCAGCGATACGACGCAGAATCCTTTCGACTGTCCGTTGGCACGGTTTTCGAAGAATTTGACTTCCTGAAAATCATTGACGCCCACATCCGTAATGGCGTCGGCAATATCCTGATCAGTCGTCCACCAGGACAGGTTTCCCACGTACAACTGAAACCTCCGAGCCATATGATTCATTGGCCCTGGCCCATGGTGGTGGTAAGCACCATTAGTGTCAACACCATCCAACCGCTCAATCGATGGACCGCTTCCAGAATTTCTCCTCCCATGGTCCCCAGATGGAGTGATCACATCATCGTACAAATCACCACCTTCTCCGCCAAATTCCTCCTACAAAAAAAAAAGCCACAATTACACTCACGCCCCTCAACAACACAAACATCAACCCCAAACACCTACGTTATTTTGTGAAAAATCCTGCTCCAAATCGTCGGCATACAAATCAATATCCACGCCATCGGCCATCTTTCTTCCTCATTCGCCAGTAAACTCCAGCGTAGAAGTAGGACTCCAAACCAATCGGTTTCTTTCGGCCGTTATTTCCCAAACTATTCGGTTCCAAATGCGCCCACAAACACCGCCAATCAAAACAATCCGCACTAACGAACCGATTTCCGGCTACCGGGGTAGCAAACGAACTAAATTTTGCGAAAAATGGCAATAAGAAAAGTTTTTCCGATGCGAAATTTTCCTCTCATACCAAAACTTTCAGCAAAATGCCGCAAGCCGACGGATTGGGAATAAGAAGAAGCGAAAAAACGCCAAACTTAACTGTCATGCTAGTACTGCGCGCTACGTGCTCTGACAGGTCTTCTGAGAACGGGCCCCTCCGGACGCGACGCTTTACAGGGGGCTGGTCGATTGTGAAAAATCAGAAATTACTTAATCGAAGAACTTAAAAATAATCCTACACGGAAACAAAATCCATATACAAGAGCTATGCACGCTATTTCAATACAACAAATATTTGGGTAGAATCCACCCAGATCCGTCAAAACTGAACCTACCCAAAAATGGGTAAACTGTGTTGGGAGTGACAAGTTGACAAATGAACAACATTGACATCAATCAGATCGACGTTGTTCATTTGTCAACTTGTCACTCCCAACACAGTTTACTTATTTTTGGGTATAGGTTCAGTTTTGACGGATCTGGGTGGATTCTACCCAAATTTGGGTAGTTTTGAAATAGCGTGTAGTTAAAAATATCAACCGGTGGAAACTAACGATTTTAAATGACAATTTTTTAGGGGTATTGATGACGAATATGGTCACCCGCATAAACGCGAACCATAAATTGACCTTACCTAAAATGGTTAAAAATTGTTTATAATCCCTGCTAAACTTTAACTGAAATGGTTATGGAACTTTACATGAACGTTTAATGATAAAGTTTCAACCTTATGTATTATGGTTTTTTTGGAACTGGACCTTACAAATAATGGGTTGTTAAGAACCATTACCGTTCCAAATTCTTGTTTTCTCCATACATTTTCGGAAAGAGAACTATATTAGAACCTTTAAACTTATGGTTTGAGAACTTTAATGGCAATGGTTATGGTAGTCAGTAAGGTCCACGAATGGTTTTGTAACATCGATTAACTTTATGTGGAATATATCGCGAATTGGTTGCCTGTAATTTACTGATTACCAATTCACGATATATTCCACGTAAAGTTGAGCGATAATACAAAACCATTAATGGACCTTACTGACTACCATAACCATTACCATTAATGTTCTCAAATCATAAGTAAAAACGTACTTATGTAGTTCTCTTTCTGAAAATGTATGGAGAAAACAAGAATTTGGAATGGTAATGGTTCTTAACAACCCATTATTTGTAAGGTCCAGTTCCAAAAAACCATAATACATAAGGTTGAAACTTTATCATTAAACGTTCATGTAAAGTTCCATAACCATTTCAGTTAAAGTTTAGCAGGGATTATAAACCATTTTTAACCATTTTAGGTAAGGTCAATTTATGGTTCGCGTTTATGCGGGCATCTACATTAAAAATGGAACCTCAATCCAAAATTTCATAAATTTTGGTGCACGGGAACTATGTTAAATCAGTGCGAATACATTTGCAAGCATCACCATTTTAACGCCCTTCGCCATAGAGCGAACTGTCATTCAATGGATATTAATGCCATCGAATGCAATTTGTTGACAATTTAAAACTTGGTTTACAAATCAAGATGAATGTCTATGGGATCGATAAAAATATATTTGTGCTCAGAAAACGAAGCTATTTCAGGTGATGTATAAAAACCGGCATGTTTTTCAAAATTCAACGAACCAATTGGCTCACTATTTGACTAGCCCGAGGACTAGCCTATTCACAGAAAAAAAAGTTGTTGAATATTACATCCAAACTGCTGCAACCAGGTCATTCCATCGGTTGTGTAATATAACGTTGTACGAAGTACATCGATTTTGCGAACAAAATTACATCCATTGATGTAATATTGTATCTGCTTTTAGCTATTACATCATTATTTCACACATCAGCTTGAATTACATTGATCGATATTACATTTTTTTTTTGCTGTGTTGGTCCCAAGTACATCCATAAAGATAACTCTAAGACTAGAAGGTCCCGAAGAAACGAGCTCAACTTTTTGGCTCAGCTCTGGTACTATCTTCGGTCCCAAGCTAATCGGTGCACCTCTCGAAACATACACGGAGAATCGAAAGAACTCAAAATTAAGTCTTTTGTACTCATTTTGACAGCTAAGTGCAACCAGTCAAAATTGAGTTCTTTGCGAAGTATCCAAATTTAAGTACTTTAATAATACTTCGTATTGAGTAAAATGTAACTGTTTCATTAAGAGTGTACGTTCGGTGAAAAGTACCTAAAACTGAGTTTTCATTTTAAAATAATAAATGAAAACAAATGTTGTTCTGCCATAAACCTAGCTTGCGTATAAAAAAATAATACAGTAGATTTATTTATTAACATAGGGGTACAGCGCGGGGTAGAGAGGTAGTGTTGACATTACAAAAAGTAGAAGTTTATAAAAAAAGCTTCAAGCTACTCAACAGTTTTCGGGTCATTGATTATTTTGCAGGGCGAGATCCGTTGCGTTGATTTAAGCATCTACCTATAGGAAAATCCACTAACCCCTCATTTTATCTGTCAAACTTTCATAGCGAATCAAAACAAACATAGTGTAGTACTGGAATTTATACTAGAATGGGGTACGTTAATCGATTTGCTTGGGACCAATAGGCTAGTCAAGTAGTGAGCCAATTTAAAATCGTTAGTTTCGTATTGATTGTTGGTACATCTATAGGCGTATCCGAGGGGGACGACTCTATCTACGATGCAGAAAAAATGTGTTATGCTGTGGCTAGCTGCGCGCACGCTGAGTAGATAGAAAGAAGATTGATGACGATTCTGAAGATTTCCTGCAAAAAAATGATGCGCGATGCAACCAACAATCAATACGAAACTAACGATTTTAAATTGGCTCACCACTTTAGTAGCCTATTGGTCCCAAGCAAACGGTTAACGTACCCTATTCTTGTTGAAATTCTATTACTACACTATGTTTGTTTTGATTCGCTATGAAAGTTTGACAGATAACATCAGGGGTGTGTGGATTCATGCAGAACATGCAGGGGTGAGTGAAATAGCTTGGGACTGCTTGGGACCGTTGTTCTGGTACTGAGTGAGCCAAAAATAATAATGATTTTCTTCGGGACCCAGTAGTCTTAGAGTTACCTCTATGATGCAACCATAGAGGTAACTCTAAGACTAGAATGTCCCGAAATAACGTGCTCAACTTTATGGCTCAGCTCTGGTACTCTCTTCGGTCCCAAGCTAATCGATTCACCCCTCGAAACATAGGAAAAATCAATAACCCCTCATTTTATCTGTCAAACTTTCATAGCGAATGAAAACAAACATTGCGTAGTACTAGAATTTTGACTAGAATGGGATACCTTAATCGTTTGCTTGGGACCAATAGGCTAGTAGTAGTAGTGAGCCAATTTAAAATCGTTAGTTTCGTATTGATTGTTGATGCAACTAGATGCGACAAATGAAAGAAGATTTTTCGAAGATTGATTTGCTAGTGTGAGATTTGTTGAGCATCTAAACTTGAAATTTAGATGTGTCGCCCATTCTAGTCGAAATTCTTGTACTACAATATGTTGTCTATATGTCAATATGTATGTCGATATGAAAGTTTGACAGATAAAATGAGCGGTTTGTGGCTTGGGACCGAAGAGCTGAGCCAAAAAGCAGTCTTGCTATCACTCACTTGCAATAAAAAAATGATTTTTGGAATTTTGAAATCATTAGATGTTATAATGATGGTTTGTACTTGTTATATACGAGAAGAGGTTGAAAAGCAAGTGTTTGACACATAAAACCTGTCAAATTTGCTTTCAGATAGTCACAATCAGCGATTTTGCGACTCGCGAGCGCTCACTCTGAGTGAACGCTCATGAATCATAAAATCGCATATTGTGACATTCTGAAAGCAAAATTGACAGGTTTCATGTGTCAAACACATACTTTGCAACCTCTTCTTTTGACTTACAAGTACAAAATATCATAATAACATCTAATGATTTTATAATTCCGAAAAACATTTTTTTATAGCAAGTGAGTGGAAGCAACCCTGTGAGCACGTTTCTTTGGGACCTTCTGGTCTTAGAAATACCTTTAGGATATTATCAAGCTTCCGTAATAAAAATAACCATAAAAGAGAGCTTAACAACGTGTTCGGGGTATCGTCCAAACCATTTGTGGGATAGTTTACCCATCCGGAATACAGTGCGTTTATGGTATTTGTTTATTAGGGTTTCCACGCTCAGTAATGGCGGCCTTCACGGGTTTTAAAATGCACTAACTGACAGATTGGCACTAACTGGAGATTCAAATTTTCACTCTTCTCTTTCCCTTCTCCTTGGAACAGATGAAAATGAAACAATAAATTTTCTTTAATTTTGAAAAATATACCTTTTTTATACATCATCTGAAAGAGCTTCGTTTTCAGCCCGAAATATGATTAGTCTATTTGAAAAGCTCCCCAAAAAGAATTGTAATAAAACAACTAAATTACAATGATTTTTACTGTTGAATTTCAAGTACATTAAAATTTACTGTTCAATTTTTGTGCGGGAGATAAAATAAATTTCGATTTTTAACGAAACTATTTACCTCTATGATCCACACACCAAATTTAAGTTTTCAATATCAGTAAAACGGATTGCTGGATCATGACCAGCAATCCAATGCTTTACTGAAAAACAGCAAACGATATTTTTACTGAAAACATCAGCTAACATAAACTAACACCCAGTAAAAGAGTTGTCAAACTGTTAGCATCACAGTCGCAAGTATTTTTGCATTTGTACACCGTAAACCGCAGGAGGAGGAAGAGCTAAAAAAAAACTACAAATAGATAAAATTATGTAGACTCTGGCTCGGACACTGGTTATATTTAATAAATGATACTTGGAAAGGAGTCGGGCGATTTTATCTTTATTATTCGTATATTTACAGAAGCTGGAAGCTCATATAGTGAAAACAAATTCGATTTTTTTTTTCAGTTCGTTTATTTGGCAGGCTCAAGTGTTATAAAAATAACTTAGCGGAGCCGAGTAACATAGAATACCAATTTTGGTACTCAAAATACAAATATATGTATATATATATATATATATATATATATATACAAACATATTTTATCATATGACTTTTCTTGGTGGCGATCGAAGCGGCGACAAAGCGGTCTTCTCCCGTGCACGCAACTTCTTTCTTTCCCGAATTTGTTCCTCATTTTCATTGAACCCGAATCGTAATCGCTGCTGCTGCTTCTGAACATTGTTTCCCGTTGCATGCTCTCCGCTACTCTCGTCGGTCGTCAGGGTCGTCACGTCCATTTCGTTTTCTTCATTCAACATCTCCAACCCCGTGTCCGTTTCCTGATCGCTAATGACAAACGACGCACCTTCCACCACTACACCAGCATACGTACTGCTGCTGTTTTGTTTTCTTTCACTTTGCTTTCCTTTTTCCTTCAGTTGCTTCTCCGGTTCCTTCCGAGCCTTCCGCTTGGGACAGGAAAGCTTCCGGTGTCCGTCCGCCTTGCACAGAAAACATTTATCTTTGTTGCCATCATAAAAAAATATTTCCTTTGCGATTGAAGAAATGTAATGACGTGGGGATTTCCTTCTTCACATCCATATATATACCGCGTATCCCTGTATATACCTCAAAACACAGATCAGTTGGAAATTTCTCCCGGATGATGCGTTTAATTTTCCCATATTTCCCCAGCACTTTATCCAGCTCGTTGTCGGGTACCTCTGGTGGCAAGTCATACACACGCACATATTGAATGAATTCACCAGCATGCGACATGCGTACCTTTGCCGTCGTTCCATTCGCATAGTGGAAGATTAAATCCTCCGAATTGAATGTTAGAGCATGGAGCATCGCTTCCTCTGATTTGAACTTCATGAAGACTCCCCTTTCCTCACCAATGCGATAAACAGCTTCCATTTCAGCCGGATCCGCATCGAGTGCTTTGGCGAAATTTACTATCTCTCCGATGTTTGGTTTAGCATCACAATGGCTGAAGCTAAACTTGATGGTATTTTTTACTTCACACATCTTGCACCGTAGCAATAAAAGGCACCGAACTGCTAGCAACGAACAAAGAGCAACTATATAATAGCAAGTCTCGAAAACAGGCTATCGCGTGGTTCACAACGAAATAAAAAATCGACTGCTGCTGTAGACAGCTGTGGGACAACTGAACAAATTCGATTTGAATTTAATTGTTTAATCAGCAAAATGTCAAAATTTTCAATTCCTGAAAGATCAGTAAAGAAATATTGCTGATTTTCAGTAAAAGGTTATCATTTTGACAGAAGTTAAAATTGCTGAAAAATTCAGCATCATTATTTTGCTGATCTTTCATCAAGTCTAAATAGTGTGCAATGCTCAAACAATGAAAATTAATGTAATGAGATCAAATACGTTCTAGAAAAATCAGTTGTTTTAATTGTTAAGATGCCCCCTTTTTAACTGTGGATTTATCAAATACCATGATTTTCATTGTTGTGAACGATAAATAAATTTAAATCTTGATTTAAAAATCGAGATGAATGTCTACGGGATCGATAAAAATATCGTTGTGCACAAAAAACGAAGCTCTATTAGATAATGTGTAAAAATCGGTATATTTTTCAAAGTTAAACAACCCAATCGATGAAATTTTGGATTTTGCTTCCATTTTAAATGTATTTTAATTTATATGTATTTACAAGGTATTTAACTCTAATCCCCTAAACAACCCAATTAACAAAAATGTCCAATGTTTTGACATTAAATATCATGGTTGACAATAAAAACCATTGTATTTTTCTAGGTATTTTTAAAGATTACGCGAGAAATCTTTGATTATGGCTTAACTTTTATACCCCGGACAGACTATGACCATAGAGGTAACTCTAAGACCACTGGGTCCCGAAGAAAATCATTATTATTTTTGGCTCACTCAGTACCAGAACAACGGTCCCAAGCAGTCCCAAGCTATTTCACTCACCCCTGCATGTTCTGCATGAATCCACACACCCCTGATGTTATCTGTCAAACTTTCATAGCGAATCAAAACAAACATTGCGTAGTACTAGAATTTCGACTAGAATAGGGTACGTTAACAGGCCAGTGGCAAGGCCTATACCAACAGCAGCGTTTGACAGTAGGCAGCATGTCCCGGGCTCAAAACGTTCATTTTGCTGTGCTGGGCCCGCTGTCATGGTATAACATGTTGCCTACGCGCCTGCCACTGGGCTGTACGTTAATCGTTTGCTTGGGACCAATAGGCTACTAAAGTGGTGAGCCAATTTAAAATCGTTAGTTTCGTATTGATTGTTGGTATTAGCATAGAGGTAACTCTACTCCTAAAGAACCCAATTGGGTTGTTTAACTTCGAAAAATATACCAATTTTTATACATCATATGATAGAGCTTCGCTTTCTGAGCACAAGCATATTTTTATCGATCCTGTAGACATTCATTTCGATTTTTAAATCAAGATTTAAATTTTTGATCGTTAACAATAAATCTATTCGTTGACAGCTCACTCCCATACAAAGTCCCACCAAGGGGCGCTAAAATGGTGATTTTTGCTAATGTAATCGTACTTATTTAAAATAGTTCCAGTGTACCAAAATTGATGGAATTTTGGATTTCAGTTCCATTTTTAATGTAGATAACGAATATGTATTTACCTCAATACCCCTAAACAACCCAATTATTTTCGGGAATATTTTGTTTACCGTGTACTCGTTACACGAGTTTTTGGCGCATTGGGTTATCCCTTGTTTTCAACGCACCGCTTCTTCTGGCATTGTCAAGCTCATTTCCGCTTCTCGCTGTTCGGTCTCTTTTCATTGTCGAATTTTGACAAAGTAACACGCATAGTGGACGAGCTAAGGTAGGTTTTGTGTGAAACTCGTTTAAAATCAACTTTAAAGTTCTTTTCTTGCGATTTCGAATGTTCTATAAGTGCACAGTTATTGATGTCTAGTGAAGTTTTCTGAATAATTGAGGATTATTCTATCTATTTCCATTATGAAAAAAAAAAACATGTTCGTCTTCACCGCCACGTTTCTAACACCGAACCACTTCCATTTTGTTTCGTCCATCCAGGTGCTAGCGTCCGCCCGGCAACATGGTAAACCATCGTATCCCGTCGGTCTTCTCCAAGACCTATGTGACCCCGCGTCGTCCGTTCGAAAAACCCCGTCTCGATGCGGAATTGAAAATCATCGGCCAGTACGGTCTGCGAAACAAGCGTGAGGTCTGGCGTGTCAAGTACACCCTGGCCAAGATCCGTAAGGCTGCCCGTGAGCTGCTCACCCTCGAGGAGAAGGACGAGAAGCGTCTATTCCAGGGTAAGTTGAATAATTGATGGAGGATCGTTAATATTAATTCCTATTCTACTGTGATGACATTCCTAGTTACCTAAATTCTGACACCTCTTGGCAGAACTACCCTTGTTGAAAGTAACTAACTTTAAATAACTGATATTCATAAGTCAACTCACTAGTGACTGAGTAAGAATGTTGCTTAAATACTAAAGCGGTATTTATTTTGCAGGTAACGCTCTCCTGCGTCGTCTGGTCCGTATCGGAGTGTTGGATGAATCCCGCATGAAGCTCGATTACGTTCTCGGTCTAAAGATTGAGGATTTCCTGGAACGTCGTCTGCAGACTCAGGTGTTCAAGCTGGGATTGGCCAAGTCCTACCATCACGCTCGCGTTCTGATCCGTCAGAGACACATCCGGTAATTATGATTCCATTTACACATTTTACCGTTTCCTAGGTGTAATTCGAAGACTAAGCTAGTTGCTCATCCTACGCATTTTTCCGTCTCAGTTCTCTAGTGAGATTTTGCGATGGCTTGCTGTCGCAAATGATCGTGAGTGCCACTTAAATATCGGGAGGGTCTAATCGCCTTCTGGGTATTTAACGCCTCACATTGATAGAAGCAATGAACAGAGAAGTTCACCGTGACTTGGTGAATTGTAATTCTCATGGAATGCTCTATCGAAGGTGCAACACCTATCCGATCTCGCAAGGAGAGAAAAATGAGCAGGAAGAGGAATACACCATGCGCACGATCATTGGAAAACAGGTAAAATTTAAGCCACGGTTATTGATTTGTACATGAGCGTCGTTAAGCTGAAATTGAATTGTTCGTCTCGGTAAAGATTTCCATTGACCAACCCCACGGCCACGCTTGGTACGATGTATCCTACTAGTCGTAACCAAGTGCCAATAGAGCAATGGTAACTGCTCACGTTTTATTACGTTGGGGAAGAGTACAGTTTTCGCATTAGGAACCTTTCTGCTTCTACACACATGAAGAGAAACGGGCCGAAAAATGTGAGACAATCTAACGCCACAAACATAATGGAATCTTTACCGGGTCCATCAATACAGGACAAAGTAATCCGATCGATTTGATTCATCGCTATAGCATACGATTCAGTATCTTTTTAGTAAAAAATTAATTAACTTGTTTGACCCCACGGCCACGCTTGGCTCGACTATCTCACTTGTCGTTGCCGAGTGCCAAAAGAGCAATGGTAACTGCTCACGTTTTACTACGTTGGGGAAGAGTACAGTTTTCGCATTAGGAACCTTTCTACTTCTATAATGATGAAGAGAAATGGGCCGAAAAATGTCGAGACATACAAACATCAACTTGATTGAAAACATGTCATTCACTTGATGACTATCTGAGAAGCTGCTTTATTTTCCATGTAACCCCACGGCCACGCTTGGTACGATGCATCCCACTAGTCGTATCCAAGTGCCAAAAGAGCAATGGTAACTGCTCACGTTTTATTACGTTGGGGAAGAGTACAGTTTTCGCATTAGGAACCTTTCTGCTTCTAAACACATGAAGAGAAACGGGCCGAAAAATGTGAGACATTCAAATTTACAAAAGTCGAAAATTCCAGACTAGACGCTCTCTTAAGATAGAATTATCAATCGAATTTTAAAGTTTGATCCTACATAGTTAGATTCCTCTATGCACTTTTAGTTGCTTTGCGATGGTCAACTTGAACTGAGAAGCTTCTCAAATGTAACCCCACGGCCACGCTTGAATTGATCGCCTACGTGTCAATATCGGGTGCCAGATGAGCAATGGTAACTGCTCTAATACACTAACGTCGGGGAATAGAGATACTCGTATTAGGAACCTTTCTGCTTCCTCTAAATGGACAGAAACGGGCCGAAAAATCCGAAACAGATCATACATTTTTCGACAAACTTAGTTATTGATTCTCTTATCAAAGAAAACGTCTCTTCACGATAACCCCTCGGCCACGCCCTGATCGGTGCACATCCCTGCCGATTCAGGGTGCCAGAAGAGCAATGGTAACTGCTCATATCCACTTAACGTAGGGGAATAGTAAATCTTCATTAGGAACCTTTGCTGCTTCAAACGATAGCAGCAAACGGGCCGAAAAATGCAAGAACATCCAAACAGTAAATTAAAAAGAGACGTTTTCTCAGCAAATTCTCTGTCAACTCATTTATTATCAGATCTAGTCATTTAGAAAAGCATGATCATTAAATATAACGCATTACTATCTTCTTTATCTCCCACTTCAAACCACAGCGTCCGCAAGCAGGTCGTGAACATTCCGTCGTTCGTCGTCCGTTTGGATTCTCAGAAGCATATCGACTTCTCGCTCAAGTCGCCCTTCGGTGGTGGCCGTCCTGGTCGCGTCAAGAGGAAGAACATGAAGAAGGGACAAAGCAGCGGCGGAGGTGCCGACGAAGAGGAAGAAGATTAAGTCACACGCTTGTCGGTAGGAACACCGGTCCGGATGTCCGGTCGATCGTTTTGGTATCGGGGCAACAAGTTGCCGGCAACTGAAGCTGCCGGATGTTCGGTTGGTCTTATTGGATAAGAGAAATATTTAAAATAATAAAAAACAAGTACTTCTTTTAAAAGTATACCTTACGATCCATGAACGTATAGCTTTGCTAGTTGATATCACAACCCAGCAGTTTTCAATGGAATTGAATGAAGGGTCAAAAACGGAGGGTGGACCCGTAAGCAGACACTTACGCGTAATCCACGGGAGCAAGAAGAATCCAATGATTAAAATGTTCCCACCCGATACATATCAAGCCATTGTGTTTATTCCGCTTCTCGCGTGACGCGTACCGAGTCGAGTCGTTGATACGCCTCGAATGTCCCAATGAGTGGGGAGAAGAGTCAAGAAATATTAGCAACATCCCTACCCAATGAAGGTAATATGTTTATATGAAAATATGTAGAATACTGGGGGCAAGACTATAGTCGCTATATTTATAGTTGCGGATAGAATTTTGATCGATCGAAAAGCGGAACCAATTCAATATATTGTGAACCAATATAAACAAAACGTTGATTATTCTTTCCTCGCCAACGCAAATTACTAGCATCATCGGATAGAAGAAACTTTCACGGACCCAAAGGTGTTAGTTTGAATAGGCGAGCCTTGAGTCATGAGAAAAGGGTTTCCACAGAGTCGATGATGTTATAAATCAGACTCCCGCAAAGAGAAAATGCTGCGAACAATCAGCACTGTTTGTGATTCATCAAAAACATTAATAAGAGTAAGAAGCTCGATTGTCTAGTCCCGTACCGGATCGGAATCAGCAGCTCTCCGGGACGGGACTTGACAATCGAGCTTCTTAATGTTTTTCAAGAATGCCCCCCGGAAATTTGTGCGTGGTGTTTAGCAAACCCCACACGCATCAATATATTGACGCGAAGGGGAATTATTGACAATAATATTGATGATGTGAATTCAGAAATATTGTCAATCTCGATATATTGACGTCAATATAGCATGTATTGACAATACGATTATTGTCAATAAAAGCAATCGTGTGGGGTTCACTTTTGACGGAGTTGACCAATGATGCCAGAAATGTAAAATAGTTTTTTTTTTTCTATTTTAATTTGGATTATATTCGGAATTTCTACCGCAGTTTAGCAGCTTGTACATCATTTTTGCTCAACACAATAAAAACAACCATAAACAAACAACAATATCCATAGCCTAAAACACGCAGTGTACTCAATTTTTCAACTTTCATTTCGCAAATATAAACAATTTTGGCTTCACTGCCAGGCAGATTGATGCGATCCCTCTGTCCTTTTTATTCCACGATTGCTGCTGTCAAATCGACCAATCAGAAACTGGTTCGGATTTGACAGCAAATTGGCACGAAATCGCTACCCGTTTGTCAAGTCCCGTAGCTCTTCGTGAGTGGCTGTGGGCCAACTATGCCAAGCGCGTCATACTAAAGAGTATAAACAGAGAGAACTGCCTATTGCCTAATGCTCAAATACCTATTCCTACACAAAACACAAGCTCCTGCTGCAGTTAACAAATAAGATTTATTATATAAGACCAAGTAGTTCTACGTCACCATTGCGTACAACCCCATAGGCCCATAGGGCTGTCCCTTGTAGTTTTTTCTCTCTATATATTGTAGCATGAAATTCAAAGAAAAACTGATTTTACCGTTTCTACTGAATTTTCAACGTTACTACCCTAATAAAAAATTACCATAAACGAACGATAACCCAAATGATGGAACTATTCCACAAATGGTTTGGATGATACCCAGAACACGTCGTTAAGCAAATTAACCATAACATTTTTATTAGGGTATTCACTGACTAGATTAAAAATAGTATTGCAAAATGTATTGTTTCTAAACAGTTTTAAATAATAACCTGTCGAACTTAGAAATACTCAGAAGGAGAGATGGGCGGAGAGAATGTTTTGAGCCAAATGCACTGCCAAAATCTGAGCCAATCGAACATTCCTATTAGATTTTGCCCGAGGATTTATTCTTATTAAATTAAATTTGTGAGTATTTCAATCGAACAGAAATTCTATCACCTTTATGTATCGTGTGCTTGTCAAGTTCAACTAGTTTTAGGAATCAAAAACAATATTGTAACTCTATTGATTAATTGATCTTAGTTTGTTAATTAATGGCACCAATAAATGTGCAAAATATTGCGATGCAATCAATACGCCTTTTTAATGCACCACCAACGTAGAGTGCGCCACGCGAGTTCGAGAAGAAACGTCAACCAAACCGTTTGTTTACATCAGAATAAGTATTTTCCCCAACGCAAATAACAGCATTTTTCATTCAAAATCTTGCCAATTTCCATCGGTATATGTCTTATTGTACGATTTTCCACAAATCTGAACTGATTTGCACCTAAACTATTCACACACAAGAAATCCGGAAGATCATAACCACTAAGGCACTTTTCTAATTTTCCATTTCTCTCAACAAAAATATTCCTGAACACCAGCAGGATCTTTTCAAAAACGTTACAGAATTAAATTTTTCAACTGTAGATTAAGTTTTGCAGCATCTCAGATGAATCAATTTATCAGGAAAAGTAAAAAAGTGTTCCGCTTCCTATGTCTCAAGGCAAAAATTTATGCTCAACACTCTTTTTGACGTTCTCCTATTGGCAAATCAAAGTTGGCACTCGTGGAGAATAGAAGAACTATAACAGTGATGATGGTTTCAAAATTTTCCACGGGGAAGTATACGAATGCAATCTTAAAATGCTTTTATTTTTCAAATGGAGCATTTTATTTAAATCTGGTTTCTGCTATAGTGGTAGAAAAGCTGAAATCTATGTATACACTTAAAAATCTGAAAAGAAATTATTTTTTCTATATTATACGTCTATTGAGTAGTCCTTAAGTTTTCTACTAACGTAGCATTAACCAGATTTAAATAAAATGCTCCATTTGCAAAACAGAAGCATTTTAAGATTGTACTCGTATACCTCACCGTGTAAAATTTTGAAACCATCATCACTCTCATAGTTCTTCTATTTTCCACGAGTGGCAACTTTGATTTGCCAATTCACCACCAGAGACTGAATCGATCGTTTAGTTTCTATTAAAAAGGCCTATTAATTATGATTTGAGTAGTAGTTATACTGAAGATCCGAGAGATGTCGCCCCTTCAGTGGTAGGAAAATAATTTTTGCAGCAAGGAGAATGTACTCGTGCAATTTTTGTGCACCTAAAACTGCCCATAAAGACGATGATGAATAAAAACTGAAAATTTTCACGTAAATCGAATCAAAAATAAAAGTCATGTGAAATGCAGGCTTCCATAGAAGCAATGACATTTATATAAGGTGTGGGCCAACAGGCAGCTTGCTGGTGTTAGAAGCAAAAATGTTGTAAACATTGCAGAACATCTCCGAACAGATAGAAATACGTCACTGCCAACATACTGAGAGCAGATAGAAATACGTCACTGAAAACAGCTGTTTTGTGTAAAAAGATAAACATTGCAATAAAATACGAACACCACTAAACATTTGCACATTTCACTAACACCAATAAGCCCTTTGGCCCAGACCTTATATAAATGTCATTGCCATAGAAGCAAGCGTTTCAAGATAATTTAGGTACAAATCCCTGCTGCCGAATTGTATTTTGTTTTCTCCGCCTATCTCTCCCTCTGAGTATGTCTAGCCGAACTTCAACTTTGATTTTCTCAAAATGGTGGATATGTTAGATTGGTCTATTTGAAAAGTGACGCGAGAATTATGAAAATGAGTTTGACAGCGATTTGTTATGTATTTTCCTCGGATTTTCACTATAGTCGCTATATTCATAGTCTGGCGGATAGAATCTCGGGAACCAATTGAGCTGTCAAATAGCGGAACCAATCGAGCAAATCACGACCAACAACAGAAAAGAGCACATCAGCTATTGCAAACAAAACTTCGGAAACCGTTTTCTCATGATTCAAGGCTCGCCCACGCATACTAACACTATCTTTGGGTTGAGGAAAGACTCCCCTATCCGATGATGCCGGTAATTTGCGTTCGATTGTCGAGGAAAAAATAATCAACGTTTGGTTTATAAAAGTTGATAGGACCTTTTCAATTGTTGGTCTACAATATATTGAATTGGTTCCGCTTTTTGATAGATCGAAATTCTATCCGCCAGACTATGAATATAGCGACTATAATTTTCACTAACCGTTCTCACATAACACACCAAACAACGGGACGTAAAAATCTCTACATACGCAACGTAGTGTGCGTAAGATGAACGTATATAGTCATGTGCTCTCTCAATACAAATACTCACTCAACCAGCAAGCAGTAAAGTGGAAAGACTGATAATCATTGTAGAGTGAAAATTTACTGAACGGGAGTGTCAAATCGAAGTCGCGGAATCAAGTCGTAATTACGGATACTTTCTCTTATCATAAACATATTCTACCGAAAAGTGCAGTGCTTGAGAAGGCAAATTTTCGATTTTCATCAAACATCGGTTGGATAAAGAGAAACTAATCACAATGGCCACGTCATTTACAAATTTTTCATACGAGCGATTCATGAGAAACATGGGTCAAAATTTGTAAGTATTTCCTGTAGTGACATCTTTTGTAGTGGCTAGATAGGAATAAAATCTCAAGTTTTGAAAAAGTGATACAAGGCAATCGAAATCGTAGTTAAAATGACGGTGCATTTTAAATTATCTTTTCCTCCAATAGACGATAAACACGTAGCCCGTAGCCTTATTATGAAATAGTGAACAAGAAATTGCGTTGTTTGTATGTATTGAATGAAGATGGTGCGATCCACAATGCAGACGTTTAGTTTTATGCAAATAAAATAAATTAATATGTTATACAAACTTCCAGAACTTTCTAGAAACAAATTATTCGAGCATCGAAACGATTGTTTTTGTGTACATATGTTAAAATAATGCGACATTAAAAGTATGTAGATTCAAACAGCGCACATAAACATTTTGCTTGACCTCTACAAAACGACTTGCTTCAAGGTTTTCGGTTTTTCTATAAAATCAACTAACATACAAACAAAAATTCTCTTTTATTTTAGGGAACCCAGCGTAAGATACCACCTGTCCAAAGTGTACGCATGTCTCACCGCAACATGCGCAGCGGCTACCATCGGATCACTAATCCATCTCCAAGGAATATATGAAGCTGGGTTGTTCAGTGCACTCATCCCGCTGGGTCTAGTGTTGGGCCTAGTGTTCACACCGGATAATGGCAAAAACTTCAACATGCGATTGGGACTGTTGCTAGCTCTTGGTGCATTCACGGGACACTCAATGGGCATAATGTTGGAACAAGTCATGTTCATCAACCCAGCCATCATCGTTACGGCTCTTGTTGGAACAACTACCATCTTCACCTGCTTGAGTGCATCGGCAGTGCTGGCGAAACGTGGAAGCTACCTGTTCCTCGGAGGCATCCTGTTTAGCACACTCAGTGCAATGGCCCTCATCAGCTTGGGAAATTTGCTGTTCCGATCCTACTTTGTACAAGAGGTAAGTCCTTGACGAAAAAAAAAATGGAGCACGTAGCTTGTGTATAATGGATGATTTTGTTTGGATTTCGATATTGACTCAAAGATTGCACCAGTCGGAAAGTAAGCAGATACTGTGTGTATATAGCGGTACGACGTCATGCCACTTGTGGTGTTAATAGCTTCAAACCACGTCATACATTGTTTGTACATTACACTACTTTTTATTCTAATCTTCGCTTTATTCTAATCTGTGCATAGGTAGAAATAAACAGAAATATGCTTAATAGGACAAACCTAGAGTAACATTTGAAATGGCCCTATGTCCCGTAAACAAATCAGAAAATGAATTTTAAATTTTTCCGCCACTTTTCAATTCATATTTAAGAAAACTGAAGTATTTTAGGCATTTATATTGTTCACAATAACAAAAGTAACTGTATCTCAGTATACAACATCCAAAATATGCGAAAACCTTTCAAAAATATATGAAAATCGACAACAATTTAATTTCATAAATTAATAAGCCTTTTTGTGAATCTTTCAATGGATAGGCCCTTTTTGTTAAGCCGTTGTGCTTGTCATCAGAAATGGTAGGCCCTTTGCTAAGCCTTTTCGCAACGTCAAATAAATTCAAAACAAATCATCGGCCTTGCCTCAAGCAGTAGGGCGTTTTAGCGTGCGGGCCTATAAATGAATCGAAAAATTTCTTTGATCGGCCGTTTCGAAAATCAAGTTATTTTTAATGATTTTTCTCGATTATGCGGAACTTTCTTACACGATTAGTAGCTATCAAGCGGTGCTAAAGAATGGTATCAAAACCCGATTTGTTTACGTTTTGGACATAGGCCCATTTCAAATGTTACTCTAGTTTTGTTGATCCGTTGTGCTTGTCATCAGAAATGGTACGCCCTTTGCTAAGGCTGTGTTCCGTTTGGTGAATTTTCGCTTAAATGTGACAGATGGGAAATTTCCAAATAAACCTGCTATTGTACCAGACTTATTTCTGACAGACCAGGAATCAATTTTGACAAACACCTTATCGAAAATCGGATGATCAACAACAGAGGGATTTTCGAACATTATAATTTATTTTCGAAGCGTCAAATTTAAGGGGGGGGGGGGGGTGTAAATTTCACCTCTATTTAGCGTGACATAATTAATGCATGGGCCCTATTGTACGTCAATAGCAGCGAATTGACCCAGCAGCTGGTTTTCCGTTTGCGACAATTGATGGACACGATTCATGATCTTTAATTTGGAAGCGCGAAAACAACATAACCGAATCGGGTTCTGGGGTTAGCAATCTTAAGGTAATTTGAGTTGTGGGCAATCTTGTAATATTCATTTGAGAATAATGCATTTTAGCAACTACAACTAGAAATACGTAGGTAAACGTTGCTACCGTTGTAAACGCTATCGCTAAGAGACTATGTTATACACTGGAGTCGCTTTTTACGCGGTTTTTTTTTACACGGTTTTTTTTTACGCGGTTTTTTTTTACGCGGATTTCGGAATTTACGCGGTTTTTTTTTACGCGGATTCCGGAATTTACGCGGTTTTTTTTTACGCGGATTTTGGTTTTTTTTTACGCGGATTTCAGAATTTACGCGGTATATCGCTTTTTACGCGGTTTTTTCTTCCACGGTTTTTTTTTTACTCGGTTTTTTTTACGCGGATTTCGGAATTTACGCGGTTTTTTTTTACGCGGATTCCGGAATTTACGCGGTTTTTTTTTACGCGGTTTTTTTTTACGCGGGACGTATCACCCGCGTAAAAAGCGACTCCAGTGTACATAAAAAATACTGCAATATTGGCATGAAAACCATCAAAAATACGGAAATTAAAAATTAGGCCACAATTCAAACCTGGATGCAGTTTCGCCCTCGCTGATGGCGAACAAACCGAGGGGTGAAATTAACTTCACTATACTAAACTACAAAAGTTAGTTACGCCTTTTTGTAGATGTTAATTTAGGGTGATAAAACATGTACATTCGTACCCTTAGGTACAAATATCACCCCTACTTCAAATTTTTCATCTGTACACTCAAAAAATATTGAAATCTAAATAGTATAAAAGTTACGCTAAATCGCAACTCTCCTGACCGACGCATAGCTTGGTATAATGAGAGAATGCAAGCTTAGTATAAAAATGCTTTATTCATTGAATAGTATAAAGTTGCGGTATTTTTTAGGATGTATAAAGTCCGTTTATTTGTCAGGATGCGTTTTTAGATTGCGTTTTATATCGTGACAGATAATGAATAAAAGTAAACAGCAATAATGCAGCAATATTTTTATTGTCATAATTTAAGGTAAAATATAAATCGTGAACGTTCTCAACCGAGCCTGCTAAACTATTTGCGTTCTCCAGTTTCCGTTCTATTTGAAAATCACTGGAGCAATCATTGCCAAGGTGCTGAAATATGGAACAGATATCTGTAATTAACTATCTATGAAGAATCAATCTCTTTGTTATAGACCTACCTCATACTCGCACGATAGATTGACCTTCAGAAAGACTATTGTAATGTTATGGTAATTGTGTAAGTAACCCTTTCGCATACGGGCGTTCTTGGATTGTATCCGACCAGCAGCTCCAGATCGGATTCTTCACAGGAATTCAGCAAAAACTGGAATGAAAATTATGTGGACGATTTAGGGATGGAAAAGAATATTGGTTATACCCCCTCCCCTTGGCTAGTTTTTGCACCTTGCTGTTGGTGGGCGGGCTTAATTTCATGCTAGTGGAGTGTTGGAGACGGTAGGTTTATGGTCGGCGTTGCTGGCTCATGCCGCGATAGAATGGCGTCATGGGCAGGCAATGGGGATTACTAAGCTTCCCCTCTCTGATAAACCACTGCATGAGAGAACCAAAGATCTAGTCTAGCAGTGATAGTATCACACTTGTTACTCCTTTTATTGAGAGCCGCGTCGTAGTACGCTTACGTATAGGCACTGACGTTGGGTGTGATACTGGCGGGTTTTGCCGCAAATCACTCTTATTTTATTTATTTTTTACGATAGATTTATTTGGGTTTGCAAGGGAATTATACTATTGAAGTATTTCAGAAAGTGCCCATCGGTGCTCCTTCTATTTGCGTGACAAGCTTTCATTGTTGTTTTCATTGAGGTATTACTCAGGGAACAATGCTAAACACCATTTTTGTACATGGTATTGCAACTAATCTTATATGTGCTTCATTTTGATTTGGGATAAGTGTTTGAACTATGGCTCGGGATTTCCACTGTGGTGTGCTTCTATTGTGACATACCCATATGTATTTTTGTGGTGCGACATAGTGGAAACGTGAGAGCGTAATTGGAACATATACCCTATATAATGTAAATATCAGCTAGGAAACTAACTTCAAAATGAAGCATTTTAGTCACATGAAGGTGTTACCTGGGTCGAACTAAGATATAATAAATAGGTATAGGCTTAAATCAAAAGTACTTGAAACACGTTTAATTTTAGATTACAAGCACAAGTGCAGGTACTTTATAAAGCATGGGTTATGATTGATTAGGTGAATTAGAGCTTTTAATAATTTATTAAATTAGACTAATGAGATATCATAATCATCAAATGAACTTAAATAAGAAACTTCAGAAAGTCTAATGACATTAAGTAGATTAACAAAAGAATTAGGATGCGGGGGGTCCGCTTAGGAGGCAACTAACCTTTAAAGTTGTAGAATAAATCTTCTTATTTAGGTTTGAACATTAACAAGAAAACGCAGGCAGACCAATACTATTAAGCAGATTAACAAGGAGAGGAATAGTTTAGGAAATAAGTAAAAGTAAAGGTATGTGACAATTAATAGCTTTTAAACTTTTGGAGGTATTGTATTCCCCTGAGTTTGTTGTACTCGATTACTATATAATTCTCTCAATACGCGAAATCTCTTATATATGCGGTTAAAGCATTTGAGTTAACTTATTTCTTAGTGTTCAAGTACTTACATTTGTAAACAGCAGTCAATGCTAATCTATGAACTAAACCATACGTAAAATCGATCTTTCCTTATGTGGTATTGATGCATGTTTAACTTTTCGCGGCTGTCGGAATCAACGCGCCTACGTCTACGGAGCTTACGCAGAAGTGATACGCAATTCGGTAAAGTTTGTCAAACGCTTTTGAGCTCATAGAATTTGTTCGGTGCGGTCGCGAAATCTTGAAATAATTGATACGTTCTTTAAATTAACTAATTTGATACAAAGCTCAGCAGTAAGTAAGTAGAATATCTAGGGAGGAAACCAAAATTAATCAACTTGCCAACATAGGCTATCACATTTATTTTGGTGGCACTCTTTAAATGATAATAAGCCTTTTTTCTCGCTTCGGTTGTCTCGCACGGCTTTCGGAATTCGCGCGGTTTTCGTAACTTACATAATTTAGATATTTCGTTCGAAACGGATTTACTTATTCAATCGGTTTACTACGCGGATGTATCTACGCGCACACGTCACAGCATTTTTTCTATAACTATCTTGAAACAATACATACGGAATCCAGTGTTTAAGCGGCCAACATAGGCTAGTCCTTCTGCTGTATTGTCAAAGATAGAAGCAAAATTTATTCAAATGGGTCAAGTCTTGAAAACTAAGCTGTCAAGCAGCTCCAGCTTGATACCCAATAAAAAAAAAAAAAAAAAAAGAATATTGGTTATACTGCATTACCTGTTGGTTGAAAGTGTCTATCGATTATATTGGCTCATATTAGACCACTAAACTACCGACGAAACCAAGATCGACGTAAAAAAATAAAGACTGGATCGAAAACCATTATGAGCGTCATCGAAATATTTACCTCAATACAAAGTGAACGATTTCTACGCCTTTATTATATTACGTGAACGATTTCTACGCCTTTATTCCGACTTAGTATAATTTTGAAACCAAATTATAATCAAATCAAGGTTTAAATATTGATAAAACATAAAATGATTAATTTTTAACCTTTCTATGTTTAGTAATATTTTTGAGTGTACCTACTCCCCTCGCTGCTAACAATGTTCAGCGAGTTAATGGAGCTACCTATGCTGCTATTGCAGCGGGTAGAAATCAAAATACTAACCAACGTAATTCTAACGGAATTTTTGACAATTTTGACTTAGGAAGCATTACTGCCCCTAAAATGGAATTTTCACAGAAATCATTAATTGACATGATTTCTGATATGCTTAAATCTAACTCCATGTTTGATGCTATTCAAACTGGGGAAAAATTTGCAAATAATATTATCATGATTTTAAAATTCAGTAATGGATTTTAAAGCATTAAATATTTTAAATTGGAATGCTCGATCTCTTAAAGATAATGAAGACGAGCTATTTAACTTTTTGAGAGTTCATAACGTGCATATTGCCGTAATAACTGAAACGTTCCTTAAAGCTAACCATAAGGTTAAGAAGGACTCAAATTATTTAATTTATAGAAATTATCGTCTTGATGGACCCTGTGGTGGCGTTGCCATCATTGTTCATAGACGAATCAAACATAAAATTCTTTCTTCATTTGAAACCAAAGTTTTTGAAACTTTGGGAGTTTCTGTTGAAACAAAATTTGGACAACTTACGTTTATAGCTGCCTATTTGCCATTCCAATGCGTAGGCCAGCAAAAGAATTTTCTCAAGGGTGACCTCCAGAAACTTACCCGTCATAGGTCTAAATTCTTCATTATTGGTGATTTTAATGGTGTGCTCATGGAATAATGCTTAAAGCAAATCCAATGGTAATATTCTGTTTGATGATTTTCTGCAGGTTATTACACTATTCAATATCCAAACAGCCCAACATGCTTTTCTTCTGCAAGAAATCCCTCCACTATTGATTTGGTCTGATTTGATCTGATTCATGTCAACTTTGTAGCCAATTGGTTACCCATGCTGACTTCGGTTCTGATCACCTTCCAGTAACTTTTGAAATATCCCAAGAAATAATTTGTAATCTCAACAGCTCTACTTTCAATTACCATAGAGCTGATTGGGAGCAATATCGAACATTTATGGAATATAACTTCGATCCAAACATTCCTTTGCAAACCAAAGATGAAATTAATTATGCTCTTGAATCTCTGACTACTTCTATAGTTGAAGCAAGAGCTGCCTCAGTACCAAAATGCGAGGTTAAATTCGATTCAATTATAATAGACGACGATCTTCAGCGCTTGGTTCGTCTTAAAAATGTCCGTAGGAGACAATATCAAAGAACACGCGATCCTGCCATGAAGGTTATCTGGCGGGATTTGCAAAAACAAATTAAAAAGCGATTCTCTGCCTTTTTACTTTTGAAAATAATGTTTCTAAATTAGACCCGAGTTCCAAACCCTTTTGGAAACTCACAAAAAAATTTAAAAAACCTCAAAAGCCTATTCCAGCGCTTAAAGAAGGTGGTAAAATTTTGATCACAAATTTGGAAAAAGCTCAGAAACTTGCTAAGCAATTCGAGAGTTCCCATAATTTCAATTTGGGTCTTACTAGTCGTATTGAGAATCAGGTTGCTCGGGATTTTCTGAATATTTTCTCTCGGGAAAATATTTTTGATGATTCCTGGGGGACTGATTTGGACGAAGTAAGGTCTATAACTAAAAAGTTTCAAAATATGAAAGCTCCAGGTGATGACGGAATTTTCTATATCCTCATCAAAAAACTCCCAGAGAGTACCTTAACATCAATACGAACTCAATTTTTGCAGATGAGCAGTTTGGATTTCGCCATGGCCATTCAACTACTCATCAACTCTTAAGAGTTACCAATTTAATTCGTTCAAACAAATCTGAAGGCCACTCAACTGGAGTTGCTCTTCTAGACATAGAAAAAGCATTCGACAGTGTTTGGCATGAAGGTTTGATTGCTAAATTGAAAAAGTTTAATTTTCCACTTTATATTATGAAATTAGTTCAAAATTATTTAACTGACAGAACTCTGCAGGTAAATTATCAAAATTCCAAATCTAATCGACTACCTGTTAGAGCAGGAGTTCCTCAGGGTAGCATTCTTGGGCCTATATTGTATAACATTTTCACTTCGGACCTCCCTGATTTGCCTCAGGGTTGCCACAATTCTTTGCCCGCTGATGACACAGGGATTTCCGCTAAAGGAAGAAGTCTTCGTGTTATTTGCAGCAGACTGCAGAAAAGTTAAGATATTTTCTCTTCTTATTTACAAAAATGGAAGATTTCTCCCAACGCTTTCCAAAACTCAACTTATAATATTTCCACATAAGCCTAGAGCTTCCTTTTTGAAACCTAGTAGTAGTCACATAGTCACTATGAACGGAGTTCCAATTTCCTGGTCAAACCAAGTGAAATATCTTGGATTAATACTTGACCAAAAATTAACTTTTAAAGATCACATTGAGGGCATTCAAGCCAAATGTAAAAATGTTTGTATCCTCTTATAAACATGAAATCCAAACTTACCCCCATTAATATATTGAAAAAAAATGCATTTCCTTCACAACCTTTTCCATGGATGCTAAGGCTTAAAAAATATTGTAACTACGATCGGTGCAGAAAGTACGACAAACTGTTTTGTCACATAAGAGGAGCATAATCTAAGATCATAAAAGTATCTTAACCCTTATGTACTCGACAAAGGTTTTTTCTACTCAGTGCTATTCAAAAGGGAGCTGGGTACTCGGGTACCCCGTCGGGCACATAACGGCTAAAGAATATTTTTTATTCCTTTCGTTGTAGTAAATTTTTGAAGAAGAAAATGACTCAAATAATTGAAGAACCTTCCACCATCTCAAAATATGTTTTATCGATTTGGATAGTACAGTAGATACAGTCCTTACTACAGCTGCTGTCTTCGATAGTGAACTGAAGATACAGCATTACACAATGCTAGAACTAAGTCTTACCGACCTTCTAATTCCGATTCTTTCCTTTCAATTGTTTCATTGTAGCTCACCTTGTACATCGGCTTGGCAGTGATGTCCGGATTCATACTGTTCGATACCCAGATGATCATGGAAAAGCACCGTATGGGTAGCAACGATTGCATCGCCCACGCTATGGATCTGTTCTACGATGTCATCAGCATTTTCCGCCGTCTGTTGATCATTCTTACCCAGAAGGAGCAGAACAACGAACGCAAGAAGAAGAGGAACTAAACTTTGACATTTTTTTTTGATTTTTCTATATGCCACGTAAAATTATACTGTGTATTTTAAAGGTACAGTTTGCAGAATCGTTGTGTCACGTATAGGTAGTGTAATTGCAATCAACAAAATTCAGAAGCCAAGTCCACAAGAAGTGCAAATTGACTATTTTGTTGTTGCTGTTGGTGTTTTGAGCAAGATTTTTTAACAGCATTCGTATTTAAATTAAATGGGATAACACAGTGTTCTGGATTCTAAAGACATAAAAGTTGGTTTTCAATAAATAGTTATCGAGCGTCAGTCAAAGCCTAGAGATCATCATCATTAGCGAGCGTCACTCGCTAACCCTTCATCAATCGTTGAAATTGGACAATTTGAAACCAAACCGTAACTCAATCTATCATGAACTTACCCGCCAAAGGGATGTTTGTTTGTAGGAGGTAAAATCGTATTTCTATATGGTTCTATTAATAAAAAGAAGTACCTATTTATGGAGCATCTGAATTCTGATTAGATCCGAAACACCAGGTGTACTAACAAGAGCAAATTTTCGTTATGTCGTAAGTAACATTCACACCGATCCGAGAAAAATAAAGTTTTGTTTTGATGACCGAAAAGTTATTCCTATTTCCTATTAAACACATATAATCTCATAGTTATAGCAATGTTTAACATATTTAGCAGGGTTTTAATCATACAAATGCAAATCGCTAGCTTTCATGCTAAAAAATACTGGTTTTTGAGTCAAAAGTTATTATACGTCGTTTGGTGGCCACTATTGTTACTTAAGTCAAAGTTCATTTACCAGGATATTCGGGAGAATTATCAATTACGTCTCCTTACGTGCAGCCCATTCATCATTTTAAGACCACCGAAATCATATTTTTTTTTCCTTCGGTTTGTTTTTTCCGTCGATCTTGTTTTCCGTGCTGAGCACCAATGCTACCGACGAGCCAGGAAGGCAGCTCCCACACCTGGACCCTACCTATCGACCCATCAACTCATGAACCGGGGACCAACGGCTTTACTTCCCATCCGAAGGAAGGCGTGATCAGAGATGTTATGCATCAGAACATCCCGGCGGCGCCGACTGGTATTGAACCCAGGCCTGCTGGGGTGAGAGGTAATCACGCTTACCACTACACCACCGGCGCCGTTGACACCGAAATCATCTTAGCAACAAACAGTTCGATTTATTCACTTTAATAATGAGAAAGCGAAACGACGAACGTACACTTTCCACGGGTTTCTCAGCGCTGTTACTTAAGGCAAACGGCATCTCCATAGAAATCGGGTGACTTAAGTAACATCGAAAACTATTTTGATGGGAAGGTGATTACGTCAAAAAGCAATTTGACTGGTAAATAAATTTAAAAATGGGATGTGATCCTATATTCGGACAGTAATAGCAGGAGCATCGATTGACACTGATAGCTCGACTTTGTTTACCTTTGTTACTTTCGACGTAATGAAAATTTGCTCATTACTGTATTAAAATATCATAACAAGTGTATCTTTTTTTCTGTGCTTGAAATAAGATTTCGTGTAATACCAGAAGAAAATGTATGACCAAACGAAAAATTGTCACTGGCATTCGTTGTTCGTTGTTGGCGTGTATGATTTGACGTAAGATTTAGGTGCAGCGAACGATGCTGTTGAAGTATCAGTTGTATATTAGCAGCTCAATCTTCAACTTATTTGCCGGCATTGTTCCAAAGGTACGGTGAGGTCAGTATCGTGTTGATGATATCCGTCTGCTCTGAGTTCCGTTTGCCTAATGTATTTCTCGATACGGCGATGGCGTCCTGTTTTCGCTGTGGATTGCAGTAAGGTCGACAAAATGGTAAACTAGATGCAGTTCTGCCTGCGCCATTTAGGTATGATCCCTAACTTCTACAACTCAAAAGTCCACCACTAGAAACTTACTTCCTTATTTGAAATCATCCTATCCTTACCGTAGGACGGTATCGCGAAGCTCAGGTTGAGGCATAAGCATGCCAGCATGAAGCAAATCGCACTAATATTGACCATTATTGTATACTGGGTGCTGTATTTCTTGCAGTGCGGGGACAATCCTTTTTTATTATCGTTTTACTTAACTCTTTCTAACGCGATGGCGATATCTGAGAGGTATCCGTATTGTCCGACGGCTGATGTCTAGCTACTTCAATTTTCGACGAAAGGCGCAATGTATATCGTATCATTATTGATTCGATGTGCTTCATTCGTGGCCAAGGATTAATACAACGGAACGTTGGCATTCATAATTGAACTTGATAGGGTGACCGACCTTCCCGAATAACCAACAAGCACTTATAGCACAGACAAACAAACATAACACTTGCATATTATTCTTCAAACACGCATTTAACGGTAAATAGTTAATCAGAAATAGTTGGTAGTACCGCCGCCTGTGGCGCTCGTTCCTTTCGTTTGACGTTTACACAATATTGCGTGACAGGTGACAGTGTACTCAACAGATGGCGGTAGCACCGACGAACCGACGTGACAGCTCATAGAAGCCACATTGAAAATCTTGCCCAAGTCGCCATATTTAAAATACGCTAAACACTACCGCCATCTACTCATCCGATCGCGTCATATCGTGAGCAAGGACACGAACACACGTAAAATTCATATTGACTTGGTTTGAGACTCACCTCGTTTGACAGATCTGATCGCCCGTTTGATAGAACGAATCGCTTATTTGACAAATCGAATTGCGGACAAACGAAATGCTTCAGTGGCATGTCGGTTCGTCGGTGGCGGTAGTGTTTTAGCGTCGATGATTTTTCAATCAAAAATATTCAATGTATTGTATCTGTTTGCCTGTGTTTAGATTGAACTCTTTCAGTATAATATGCACATAGGTAGGGTGGTCTAGGTGATCTTATTTCCGTCCTACTAAGCACAACCCGTGCATTGCCTCTATTTTTCGAACGGGTTGGAACTGAAAATGGAATGTTTCTATCACAGATGACTTCTAAATTTATTAAACTTTCCATGCGCACCGTTGGATTGGATAAAGAGTCACAAATTGTGAGATATTGGCAAAAATCTAACACTGTTTTTACCCTTCTTACAAAGAAGGGTATAGATATCACTTGAAAAACCGACTATCGATCCGAGGCCCGGAGGTCCGAGTGTCATATACCATTCGACTCAGCTCGACGAGATCGGAACATGTCTGTGTGTGTGTGTACGTGTGTATGTGTGTATGTGTGTGTGTATGTAACGAAATGAATGCGCTCACGTTTCTCAGCAACCGCTCAACCGATTTGGACAAACTCGGCGCCAAATGATAGGTCTTGGGGTCCCATTGAACGCTATTGAACGGTTTTGGAATCGGTGAACCGGTTCCGGAGATATGGCCTGAATAAGATCCGGTGAATATGGGCCTTCACGCTGGATTTAACGGAAAACGTATCAAAACCATCATGCGACACATCAAATTACTACAGAATTCAAAAATAAGATCAATGCAAGTCGTGTTAAGTGTTCCAGACCACATTGGACACAATTGGACATGTTCCGGGTACCCCGGGGATGTTGCTTGAATATGAATTGAATTAAAACCCATTAAATCACATTAAAATACGATGATAAGGTGATTGGTAGCCTCACCAAATAGACTACACCCGGATATATTCCGGGTACCCCCAGGCAGTGGCGTAGCGTCACTGGATGACACGGGGGTGGGGGGCTTGGTCACTGATAATGACAATAAAATAAATAAACTTGAATAAGTAAGAAGGGTCTGATCACACCATAGGTGGATAAATTCGGGTTTTTGATTCCAAATTCGCCCTACGAGTTTCAATTCCGTCCTAACGCATTGAAACGCCATTAGATTTTCTTCGTCCAACGGATAAAGGTAGAACAAATGGATTCGTTTGGAGTGGAGTGGAGTGTTTCTTTTGTTTTTGAGAGCAATGCATGGTTTGCCTTGTAGCTTTTGTAGTGCCGCGTTAGTTAGGAACAAACGTACTATTGATTTGTGCACGGTAAAATAATTTATATTATTGATGTTTTATGCAAGATAGAACGGAAATGGGGTATTACGACGACGAAGTAGCGCTCTACCATATTCAATCAATTCTGTTTTAATGAGATTTTTTATCGCCTCTATTTTTGATCGTGTGATCTAAAAGTGAATACTAATTTTATACAATTTCATTCAAAAAATCACAAACAAATCAAAGAACAATATGGTGGTATTAAAAATGCTGTACCCATGCGTCAAGAGGGTAAAATCGAAAAAATGATAATCGCATAAAAACAATTGAATGTAATTTTGCCGCAAACGGTTGCTACTCTGTTATTGCCAGATCAGTTGTAATTACACAGAGAACCAATAGACGATGCTTGGGACTAGTAATCATCCTCAATGGGTAAAAACTGGTGATCTAAAACTAGGCAATACCAGCGCCGGCCGTGCCTGAACGCAGGTCAAGAAAGGAATGGGACACTCGCTTTGATGGAAGCCGAGGAATCCACTGCACTTGGGATTGAACCCCCGGTCTTCTACTCAGTGAGCAAAACCGTTTTCCACTAGGCAAACGAGCTCATTTTTAATCATCGAGTTGTTGTTATTACCATGTAGTCATATTAACAAATAAAGCGATTGACGAATCTTGAATGTGGATGGATGGGCCTGAGATTAGACTCATGATGTTCTGCTCAGTAAGCAAAAACGGTCCATCTAAGGCCACCGAGCCCCTCATATCACATTATACCGTTACTCGTGTTGTTGTAATCAATCAAACCAGGCACCGACGACGACAAGTTTCGCAAAATTCACGGATCTTGTTTTTCCTCAGAGGATTGCCACGAGTGAGTATCCCTGCAAATACTATCAATTTGAATCGGTAAAGTCAAAATAGAAAATGGTAACATAAAAGAACTAAGATTAAATTGTTAATTGTTTAGATTGAACTCTTTGAGAAACGAAAGTATTCCGATGAATATATTCAATACGGATTCACGGCTTTAACCGTTAATGGCGTCGATAAGCCA